AGCTCGTCGGTCAGTATAGGTAACAGTCGGTGTAATTCATCGCTACAAATGTTGTCAAAAAATGGTCATTTCAGGCGTTAAATGTTGAAATTTGCTGCTTTATGAAATATTTGTGTACACAGCACGGGTGCTGAGAAATGAAAGGTAATATAACCGTCGCTATGTTCATCGTAATAAGCCATAAGGGCGATGTAAATCGAGCGCCTAAGGCGTGATTTCGATTTGTCAGAGCGAGCGCGTAGTTAAACATCGAGCTAATTTAAAGCCGGCTCGCTCACCGCAATATAATATCGCGATACGTGTCACTGCAGACGCGTTCGGTGGCTGCAATGATTACCGCAAATTTTGAAAGCGCCACCAACATCGTTTGGCCGATTCGTGTAAAGCCCCTGGCTTGATGTTACTTAGAGAGAGAGAGAGAGAGAGAGAGAGAGAGAGAGCAGAGGCAGTTTGATATGTACAACATATGGCGAAACCACTGACACGCGTTAATTCGCGTTCTGGATAATTGAGAAAAAAGATTTCACCACCAGATGTCGAGTATACCTTCGCAGGCAAATCTGCAAGTAGCAAAATATAAATAACCGTATTAGTCGCGAGTGTCAAAGTGAACAGTAGTTTGATAACTATTTAACTTGTGCAATAATTAGCTGTGAAATCTTGCGGCGCTTCTACCGAGAAACATTCATAAAAGTGCAAGACTTCGTTAATTATTTCGACAGCTCGACGCACCAAGCGTTGAAGAAAGAACAGAAGAAGAAGAAAATGAAAATAAAATTATCGCGTTAACACCCGAGTCGCGCTAATCGTTCAATTAAAACTCCTTTTAAGAGTCTTAAGTCACGTTAATTGAATAATGAGCCATGCTGGACGGGGGGNGGGGGGGGGGGGGGGGGGGGGTCAGTATATAGTCGTTGTGAGCGCGCGCAAATAAAATACACAATATTTTATCTTGTGCGGCTACATAACACTTGTGCCGAGCTCGTGAAAATATCGACTCGATCGTTTGACCGGTAGCCTACGTGACAGGCGTTATTATCGCCGACCGAGAGACCGCGATCATAATGTATACATTTGAAAAATTTTCCCCGCGACGATCGGTAATCAGCCGATGACGCGCACACACGTCTTTGTTTGCCGCAGATAAACTATTTACCTCGGCGGTATGTTTTGAAATTTGGAAAATGTGTGACGCGGCGACGCGCGATATCTGCGCCTTATAAGAACATTTTAATCGATCCCTGGAGAATTGACAGAGAGCGACGGCATAGATTATTATTTCATGTATATATTTTAGGGTGCGAACGAAAAAAAAAAAAAAGTTAAGTGTCGACGTCTCCCTGGATGCATGTATCTTCTTTGCAACAACAATAACAACAACAGCAGCGGCAGCAGCAACAGTGGCAGTCGCTTCATGTAAACTGCTGCTGCTGCTGCCGTGCGTGCATGCCAACGGGATATAAATTGTACGAGGCGCAAACTCGCGCGCAAACTATAATACGCTAAGCTCTCTCACTAAATTACAGTGTGAATTGGCTTTTAAACACACCAACTCCGGGGTCTAGGCAGGGGGGCTCTTTCTCTCTCTCTTTTCTCTTCTCGGAGCTTCTTCCTCCCTCAGGCTCGTAAGCGCTCAACTTATATAATACAGTTGTTAAATTCATAAAACTTCCGTCCTATCGCGCGTCCGCGTGCATTAAGTCGAGTGAATTATTTTTTTCACAGGCCTACTTGTGACAAGAAAACGTTAAATGTAATTTTATTATTTAAAATTTAACTAAATTTCATTTATGGGGTAACGCTGCTCGAAGATTTTCAAAACCAATTTTTTTTTTTTAATCAAGAGCTCTCTTTGGGAACACAGCTGAAAATGCGAAATTAGTATTTATAGGGTCAAAATAATTTCAGGATGATTTATTTTTAATTTTTCTTTACAGTTTGATGCGAGAGCCAAATTAGCAAGAAAAACTTTACAGGCGTTTTTCTCAAAAAAATATTTCATTTCGTAAACGAGGTTGTCGTTTTTTTTTGACTAATTAATTATTCAAATTTTTATAAACAATTTTCGGACAAAATTTTTTGACCAGATACTTTTACATGAAATCTCTGTGGAAAATTATTGTATAAGTTCTGATTTATTTTTTACTAAAGCTCTACTCAAAAACTGTAATCATATGCATTACTTTTAATGCAAATATGAATGAAACAGATTGAATTATACACTAAAAATTAAAGATTTTTATTGCTTCATGAAAATTCAATCGTACTTAAAACCTGCCTTTACCGTTAGATGCTGAAAACCTCTATCTGTAAATCTGCCAATGGCAAATCAAAAATAATTGTATAAGTAAAGCACGTTTTTTTGGAAAATTGTATCTTATCTCAGGCAGTTTTTGTGTCATCTTGCGCTGTAATATTTTGACTTCAATCAAAATCAAATTAATTGAAATACTTTCACATGAATTTAAGTTCATCAACGCAATGAGAAAAAACGTTCTTCGTTTTAATTTTTAACAGTATCGTGGCAACTATGACCTCATTCAACATAAGTTTTGATAAAATTAAAAATTTCACATCACACAAAATCCTATCTTACCCATCACCCATTATCAGATTCGTTTGCGGTGATGTTCGAAGGTCCACATGCGTACAAATGCAAAGATTAAGCCGGGAGAGCTTAAATTGCACGCGGACGCCGTAAAAAGAGGAGGCGAGAAAAAGTGTACGCGCGTGACAATAGCAACAACGAATGTGTGTGTGTATGCACACGCGAGATTTAGATGCACTCATTGGCAGATTAACGATCTTAGCCGAAAGGCCATTTCGTTTGATTCATTTGCGCGCCACCGCCGCGCGCGAGCTTTTCGCGTTATGTGTATATGCGTACAAAGCGAGAACGGCTGCAGCGCGAACGAGAAGAAGAAAACGTGCCAATGTAATTTCCGATAGTATCTTCGCGATCTTATGGTCATTTGTTTCGAGGCGTGATTTATATCGGGTGTCATCGCGGGGGAAAAATATCGGAATATCGAGTTAATCAACGCGCGTGCGACGATGTATATACATTTATAACGTTATTGTCGTTTTAACAAAAATACAAAAAAAAAACTCGATTAGCACATTTTTGTAAATCAAGCGCAGAGGGTTTATAGTACGGAATCATATCGAAAGTAATTTATGCGGGATAAAATGAAAATCACCCGAGCGAATGAATAACGATCCGCGAGGCCGAGTGCATATAGCGAGCCCTGTACATTTGCATAATTCAACACTTTCTCTGCGCGAGAGAAGAATGAATTTAATCGATATATCATCGAATTTTAAATGGTTTCACAGGGATCTTCGACTCGAATCTAAATCGTGTTCAACGCGGATTCCTTCTTCTTTTTTTTTTTTGCGCTTCAATTCGAGCTCGATATCGGCGCACGGTAGCAGAAAAGAAACGATATTTTATTTATGTTACAGCAGCGCCCAGTGTCGTCTCCCACGGGAAAGTTCGTTAGCAACCTCTTTTAAACTGCGTACAACATATAGATGCGTGCTGGTACAAAGTTCGCTTTTATTTGCATCCCCGGCTATAGATGCGCGGCCAGCTATGTGAATCTTTAAAAGCTGCGCGTGTCTTATATTCATGTTTTTTGTTCATTTTTAATTGGAGGTAATTTATAATTTATCACGCACAGATTCGAAAAGAGTTTCAATTTATGCATGATAAATAGATCATTACAAGAATTTTTCCCTATGTACGTAAGAAAAAAGGACAGAACTGTGAGCTGTAGGCATGGCTTCAAAATATCAATGACGGTAAATATAAATGTCAAATTAGCAGATAAAAATACTAATAATAAAATTCTTTGTAAAATTTTTAGTAGAATCTCGTTTAGACTTCATAACTAGAATATCGATTCTTTACCAATTGATTGACTTGTATCGATTTCAGATTCATTGAAAGCTATACATTTAGTTTCAGCTCTAATAACTACTGGCTCATACGAAAAAAAAGTAAGTTTTAACAACTACTGCTTTCATAAAAAAAGTTCATTTTATTTATAAATATAAAACAAAATTAGTATTTATTAACAGAAACGAAGAAAATCGAGAATCGATCGAAGGAAAACGAAGAAAGTCGATTCTGCAGACAAATGTTTTGAAAATCCATTTGAAAAAATCATAAAATTTTTTAAAATAAGTTAGAATGAATATTTTAAAATAATTTGAATAAATACATTCAATTAATTTATTATTATTACAGTTTGGTGATGATCTTGAAGGAATCCGGCACTATTAAAAAAACTAAAGTCACTTTAGCCGTTACGAATGAAATCGGGGAGATAAAAGATGGGCATTAAACTCTGAGAATCAATTCTTATTTAATGGATATTGGCAATATATTTCTTGAGGCATTTGATATTTTTATTAAAGTTTTTGTAATATAAAGAAGAATCTGAAACAAAAAAAAATAGATTCTATGAACTCACTGCGCAGTACAATATTTGATATTTCGAAAAAAAATTTAAGAATCATGAAGACAATAGAGATGAAGATAATTTTTCCAAATATCGATGCAAGATACAGATAGTGATGATGAATATGAACCCCCGACAAAACGTTAAAAAAAAAAGTCAAGTCTCATAACAATTCATTAGCCAGATGTGGCATTTTCGATCACAAAGGAACTCTCATTATGCAGACTATTGAAGTTGTACAAGGAGGTAAAGAACTACCTGTAGCAAAAGTTAGATCCGGCCTTAGGAGGAAAAGAGCTAGTACAAGAAACAAATGTGAAAAATCTTACCTTTAGCCCTTTTGCTGTCCACTGGGATGGAAAATGCGCGAAGAAAAGAGATAAATCCAAGGTAGATCTTCTTCTTTTTGTGGTTTTCTCTGGTTCTGATGAGCAACTTCTATTTTGTGCATTGCTCAAACATTGCACAAGCAAAGATATAAGCAACGCAGTCTTATAAAGCTTAGAAAAATGGGGCATCAGTAACATTAAATGAATGTGCTATGACACAATTGCTGCCAACATTGGTCGACTCAATGGTGTATGCAAGTCTCTGGGAGCTCAATGGGAACTCAATGGAAGCTGCAAGCATTACATTGCTGAGCTTGTATTGGGTTAGACATATGATCATTGTTTTCCTTCTGAGTATAAAAGTCCTAAAAATGACATTTTGATAGATTTCAGAGATAAACAATTTAATAATATTAATAAAATGAAAATCGATACTGCATCTAACATCAAAACAAAACACTTAAAGAAATGATTGATAAAAAAAAAAAGACGAAGCATTCAAATCCATGCAACATTTTGTTGCTCTTAATGAACAAGTAAGAGCAAATTACGATGAGCTTATTCAACTTGCTTATACTTTTCTTGGACGTGGATGTTTAAAAAGTTTTAAAATCCTAGAGATTTTCAAAGAGCAAGCTGGATGGCACGAGCTCTTTATAATTTAAAGATGTTTCTTTTTCGTAGGCAGTCATCACTGACAGCTGAAAGGAATACAAACCTGGAAAAGATGTCAATTTTTATTGTTTTTATCTATATTCCTTATTGGTTTAAACAAAATTACCTCTTGAAGCTGTTGTGACTTGTGAGTGATATAAAGTTTTTAAAAAAACGTTTTTAAAGTTTTTAAAAAATGATAGATAAGTTTTGTACTAATTTATGGTATATTTCCAAGGAGCTCATCTGTATTTCAATCTTTAATGAAGATACTGAATGTTTTGAAAAAAGAAAAATGATAAACAATTGAAAAATTAAGGATGACAGTAAACATCAATTAAAAGCTACAGTGTACAAACAAAATATTCAACAACTTACCTAATCTCAACTTATTACCGAGAAGAGCATACATTTTTTCAATATTACTGGAATTTCATCATCGTTTCACAATGAACATCTGAATCAATGGGCCGAAAAAGAAGATTATGGAAAGGATCTTTGCAAAAGATTGAAAGGTGACACTATAACACAGGATGCTAATCAATGGCAAAAACTATTGTTGAATGTTTTTGAAAACAGAAAAAGAATCCCTTCTTTATTACATAGTTATAAGAAATAATGATACTGTAAATTTGAATCTGAAATCTGAAAAAAATTACATTACAAAGTAAATTTTCTCATGTTACGTACAGTTAACTATAAAGCTTTTTTGACCAATAAATAGAACTTATCTGAAAAATGACTTCATCAATCCTTCCAATGCCTCAATCCAAAAGCTTAATCCAAAATACTTGTATATAAATAAAGAATGAAGAACTTTCACTTCGATAGAATTCCAATTCTTTACTTGCACCAAAAAAGAAAGTTGCTATTATAACCTCGAAGCAGAACTGTCAAGAGAACAACAACGCGCGTAGTTTCTACTAGGGGTGACTGCACTGCAGGACGCGATGCGACTCTACATTTGAACTATGGCAGCATGAGAAGTTAATCCTCGATATTTCAAATTTATATATTTTGGTCAATAAATATTTATTATAATCGTGAGTACAAGAAACTCTTTCCGCTGACTTGGAGTTAATTAGCAAAAAATAAATTCGGAAAAGCGATTTTTCTTCAATAATAATGAATGTAACAGGTAAAATTAACACTTTTATTCAATTCCACAGGAAAAATACTAACTTTATATAAGTTTAGAGAAATAAATTATATTATTAATTCGTCTGCGATCGAATATTCACTAATTTTTGGTGATTTTTAGCACGGTTGAATTTTAACGTGATTGAAATATTTTCCAGATTTTCTTAATGCGTTTTCTTATCGATTTAATAAAAAATTTTCGAAAATTTGCCAAAAAAACGCGAGTAAAAGTAAATTTTTCACATTGAAATGCAATTAAATCGTAAATCTGACATCTCTTGTCTATTCTACAGACAAAAAATGCAAGAAAATGTATTGTCTGAATTAATTTTAATTATAAAAAAAACTGCCAGGCTATCGTCCAATTTCCGACCTCTACTTAATTTTAAGGCACGTTTTTAAACTTCAAGAGCCTATCGATGACAGTTCTCGTTACTTTTTGGACTTCTAGAGCACGGCCTTTTTCACCTAAAACCTTGAACTTACAGCTGAGCTATGAGCTCAGACGATTCCAAAAATTGTTGCATAAACGGCCGGCTCTAGTGTTCACTCTTCGAATTTCTAACCTAAATGAACTTTAGTCGAAAAAATGAATTTCGGCGGATCGGCGCCAGGATTCAACAGTTTGTCAACCGTATCCGGCAATAGGCTCGCCATGCAACAGTGGAGTAGCCTTTTTATCAACCCCGAGTTAGTCCTTCAAACCGCTGCGAACCACAATTCCGATTATTTTGAACTCCTTTCTCGGATTTTGAGTAAAGTCAAGTTTTGAGGTTGTAAATATGATTTTTGAGAACAAATTTTAATTCTAAATAAAATTTTAATTAAAAAAAATTATTCAGAAATTTTTTCGTATTCATCAAAAGTAGAATAAGAAGCACAATAACATCAGAAAAGGGTACATATTCAGTCGGAAAGTCATTTTTTGGCTATCACACTTAATGTTTTTTATTATGGAAGGTCAAAAACAATAAAACCTTTTGTCTGTGCTAAATCTGCTGTGGTGGAAAGAATTGATTATGTGATCGTTAACAAGAATTTTATGTAACAAAAGTATATAGTGTTTATTTAATTAATAAAGTATAGTCAATGTATGGTACGAGGTTTAATATAAATGTGTGAATAAAGTCGTATATCAGAATACAATATTGCATGGAGAACTCGCTTTTCGCATCGAGTCATACTCGCAGCCTTCAATCTAATTTTTATAGATTGATTCGTCGGACACGCCGAGTCTAAACGCAGCAGGGCATTGCTTTCAGCGAGCCGGTCTGCACCAAAAACAGCCGGCTAGTAGCAGACAGCACATCACTTCTCAAGATACCGCGAGCTAAGGATTTCCCCCTTCAACAGTCCGCTCTCGAAGCCGTCAGCGATCTAGGAGATAACTCCTCGAGCTTCATAGCGGGCTAGAAGACAAGTCTTCTTCAACCGTGAAACTTAACCCATTAACGCGCAAAAGTGCAATTTTGTGCATGAATTTTCCGTTGTAAAAAAATTATAGATAAAGTTAAAATATTTTCTTGAAAATCCGTACCCAGGGGTTTTTGGGTATGCTCTTTCAGTATCCGGTGTTATTTTTGCGATAAATAAACATTATCATCGTTTATTTTGCCATTAAAAACAAAAAACGTGATTTTTTGACTCAAAATTTTTTTTCAAAGTCGATTTTCTACCTTGCCTTGCCTTCGGAGGGTTCCCATAACACCAGAAATCGTGCACTTTTTCCCTGAACCTTTGAAAAATGCGCTGCCGCGATTTTTATCTTGCCCCTATATTTCTAAAATGGCGAATTTATACCGAGCAGCGATATGAAAATGGTCTTATTTTTTATTTGTAAATTATTGACTTTATCAAAGAAAGTCATTCAATGAAAAGTGTTCAAATTTGTTCAAAGAATACATGTGAATTTTTTTTAGAATTTTTTAATAATTTTTTCTGAGTTTTTTAGATTTTTTTTGGAACATTTTGGATTTTTTCGACAGGCCGGGAAATGGTCGTATTTTGCAAAATTTTCAAAGTGGTCTGAAAAATTCTGAAAAAATTCACACGTATTCTCTAAACGATTTCAAATAAGTTTTTACACTCCAAATTGTACTTTTGAGTTTATATTTAGCGCATGTAAAATAGGTTCTGAGTAAAAAATGAGTGAATTTTTATACCATTGCTCGGTATAAATTCTCCATTTTAGAAATATAGGGGCAAGATAAAAATCGCGGCAGCGCATTTTTCAAAGGTTCAGGGAAAAAGTGCACGATTTCTGGTGTTATGGGAACCCTCCGAAGGCAAGGCAAGGTAGAAAATCGACTTTGAAAAAAAATTTTGAGTCAAAAAATCACGTTTTTTGTTTTTAATGGCAAAATAAACGATGATAATGTTTATTTATCGCAAAAATAACACCGGATACTGAAAGAGCATACCCAAAAACCCCTGGGTATGGATTTTCAAGAAAATATTTTAACTTTATCTATAATTTTTTTACAACGGAAAATTCATGCACAAAATTGCACTTTTGCGCGTTAATGGGTTAAGCAGTGTGCCCAATCATTCGTCTATCAATTATGCCAGGAGATCGACTCTCTTATGTGCCTAGAACTAGTCTTATTCTACTGCGCGAGCGACGATCTCAGTTGACGCCACCTAGCGGTGACTAGTTGAACCACTTGACTTAGAATAACCCATATGTTTACATTATTATTTATAATAGGCACGTAAAGCTCTACTCGGCTCGTGAGGTGGGGACTAGCGCATAGTTGTCGCTGTCATTCGATTCAGTATACATTGTGACGCCGCAGCGTTAAAGTCAATCGAATATATCGCCACGACTACGTCGAGTTATTCTCGTGAAAAAAATAAAAAATATTTCAGACTTGCGCGTGTTTGCAAAATGTGGTCTAATTACGACGACGAAAAGCGACAAGAACTCGATCGCCTCAACCAAAAAAAGGTAAAAAGATTGAAGAAAACCGTCGCAAATATTAACTGGAAGATCGAGGAGGAGCGAAGCGATTTTCATCGTAGACTTTGCCCTTTTATCAGTGATTGGGAGAGTCCATTTCCGAATCTCCGGGACATTTTTAATCATGATCAAATCGAGTGGCTTTTCATGGAAGATGTGAATAAGAGCAATTATGGAAAGGCCAACTTCGTCGATTTTGCCATAAAGGCCGGCTACATAGACGAGTTCGTCGTGATAAAAAGCGGCAAGCTGATACTTCGTCGCGTCACGCCGATCCATCACGCGGGAAGAAATCCCAAGTGTACTCGTGAGGTCGTCGACAGTCTGTTCAAAATTTACAACAAGTTTGACAGAAACTACATCGACGAGGAGTTCGGCCTATCTCATTTTCAAGTGGCCTGTATGTTCGGCTGCGTCGAGGCAGTCGAGAAATTCCTCGAGCTCGGACAGGATCCCAATCAGTACCCGATGGCAAAACCTGACCCAGCGAAGTCGATCGATCCGCCGCTGCACTTGGCTCTCGAGCGCAAACACGCCAAGATCGTCGAGCTGCTGATGAAAAAAGGAGCCGACCCTAGTCTGGTTAACGTAGAGGGAATGACGCCTGTGCACGTAGTGTGCCAGAAAGCCGACGAAGACGATGACGAATTTCTGGATTTGTTCTTCAAGATCTGCGAGGAGAACCAACGAGCCGTACAAATCGATGCTCGGGACAAATTAGGTAATACGCCGCTGCACTTGGCTCTGATCAAAGGCAAAAAGAATGTAGCTGAATTACTGCTGCGGAAAGGTGCCAATGCAAATTTAGCCACCAAGGATGGATACACTCCTCTACACTTGATTGGCAAGTATACCGACGACGATGACTTGCCAGAGAGGTTCTTCAAGGTCTGCGACGAACAACAGCTGAAGGTTCGAGTCGACGCCCGGGACAAGTCGGGCAATACACCGCTGCACTTGGCTCTGATGCACGAACACAAGTGGGTGGCCGAATCGCTGCTGAAGCACGGCGCCGTTCCCGCGTTGGCCAACGACAGCGGCAAAACTGCTCTGCTCGTTGTCTGCGAGAAAGGCGCGAGCATGGACATCGATGCGATGGAGATGCTGTTCGCGTACAGCGACAAGAGACGCTGGCCGTTGCTGATCGACGAGGGCCGGGACGCATCATCGATCTTCGACGACGACGACGACGAGTGGACGTCGAGGTGGAGGGTCGACGCCAGGGACGAGTCGGGCAGAACGCCGCTGCACTTGGCTCTGGTCCACGGCCGACTGGACGCGGTCGATTGGCTGCTACGACGAGGCGCCGATCCGAACGCCACCGACGAGGATGGATCGACGCTTTTGCACGTTCTCAGCCGAGGAAGCAGCGATATCGATTTGGCGAAGATGTTTTTTGAGATCTGCGACGAGGTCGGTCGGCCGTTGCAGGTCGACTTCCAGGACAAGAGGGGCAACACACCGTTGCACTTGGCTCTGACCTACAACAGCATGAAAATGGCCGAATTACTTCTGAGCAGAGGTGCCGACCCGAACTCGCGTAACAAGAATCGAGAGACTCCTCTGTTTGCTCTTTGCCGAAACGAACGGGGCAGTCTTGAAATGGCTAAGCTGTTGTTCAAGATCTGCGACGAGCTACACAAGTCGGTCGACGTCGATGCTCAGGACATATCGTACCGGACGCCGCTGAGCCTGGCTCTGACGAACGGAGACGAGAGGCTGGTCGAATTGCTGTTGAAACGGGGCGCCTGTCCAAATACAGCCGACGACGACGGATTGACCGTTCTGCACCTGATCTGCAGGAGAGAATACGACTTCGAAATGGCGAAGCTGTTGTTCGGCATCGCCGACGAAAAAAATCGGCTGGTGCAGGTCAATCGCGAGGACAAGTGGGGCCGTACACCGCTGCAATACGCCGTAGCGAATCTCTATCCGGAAATGATCGACGTTCTATTGGATCGTGGCGCTGATCTGTCCAACTTCGTTTTTCCCACTCGGCTTGACTTCGTGTGGTTCTCGAAACCACATGTTTATGAACGCCAGAAATTTATGAACGGCGAGACGAGGAGAGATTTCGAATTCGAACGGGCTATGCCGCTGGTCTTGCAGTCGCTGGAAAAACGAGGATACCGGCTGGGCCGATACGGCGCCCTCACGATAATCCAAATTTTGGATTTCAAAATTGTCGACGAGCCAGTGCTCGTCGGGTGTCGGAACTGCGAAAACTTCGCGAGCAAGCCGACGATAACTCCGCGCGAGAGGCAGAAGTGGCGAGGATTTTTCCTGCACTGGGCCGTGGAATTTTTCCGGACGCTGACGCGCTACCGTCTGTCCAAATCCAGCTGCGAGAGGATCGTCGAGCGACTGACGAACGTCGATCTCGTGAATATATGCCTGACCGGAAAAGGCCCAGACAGCAGAGAAGAGCAGGAGTTCCAATACCGTCGATTATGGCCACGGATACCGCCAAGGTATTTTATACTTTTTTTTCGAATGACCACTTTTTCATACGTAATAATCCTAAATGGTTGTTCCTGTTGACCTTTAATAAAATTTATCTCGAGTTTTTTTTCGAAACTTTCTATCGTTATTTTTTCAGGCAAGAAAGATCCAGATTTGACCCGATGCCTTTTCATAAGACAGAACGTTTTTACATGTAAAATTAAAATTTTATTTCGAGGAAATAAGACATGTTATTTAAACTCTAAACGCCTGTAAATACGCTCAATGTTTGTTTTTATTTTACGATTGCCGACTCGCAGAGTTTGCCGAGAATAAAATTTTTGGAAATAAATCGTACATTAAATTATATACAAAATTTAAACAATTAATGGCTTTGATATAATTCGAACCAAAGACTTTCCTTTCCTCAAATATAAAAATATGATGAAAAATTCAAAATTCAAAAGTCATACTTCTCAAATGAATGAAACTTCAAAGCTTGCACGAGAAATTGATTGCATTTTTTATTGTTTTGACCAAAGTTTCAAAAGCATTCAGTTGAACCATTAATCGTATTGAAATACTGGCGATGCTTTCGCTTTTCGACTAGAAATATCATGCAGATGATCGTTTCTGATATTTTTAGTAATGACGATTTTCTTCAATATCGAACCGTCTTATCGAGCAGAAATTTTTGCAAAAGTTTTTTTTTTGCGTAATAAAATTGCATAGCCTCGTGCCCTTTTTTACGCATACTGTGACCACGCCTTTTCAGCATTTATTTTATTTTAAATTTTAGTTTAATTTAAAAAACTTTCAAATAAAAAGTCAAATTTAATTTCTAATTCGACAAGTCTTAAATTGAAATTAATTGAAATTAATCTTCTCGGATTTTCCTAATTAAAAATTTAATTGAATAATTAGTCGAAGACGTTTCCGATTAAGAATTAAATTTTAATTTTTAATCGATAATTTATTAATAAAAATGTAATATAGTTCGTGATTTTACAATTCCCATAATACAATTAATAAATCGATAAGATCAAGAAACTAATATTCTTACTTCATTGCTTACCGGTATACACATAATGCGAAAATTTAATCTCATTCTACATTCACTCCTTACACTTTAATTTAAATCTTGTGTTTTTTCTTATTTTTCATTTAAAATTCTAAGAAGAAGCTGTCTTGTAAAGAGAGAGAGAGAGAGAGAGAGAGAGAGAGAGGAAAAAAAAACTGTTACTGTCCACAATACAAATAAAACTGTTGCTATCGATTAACAAGATTTTATTATTTAGGCATACTTTTGAGATCTTTTTTTATAAACTAATAAGGTTAAAGTCCATGCTACAGAACAACACTTTAAGAGTTTATAGCTCAATTTTTATTGAAAATACTAAACAATGAACTTGTAAAAAGCATTTGTAGCATACACCTAAAAAACTCGGTGTGCACGATTAACTTACGATAGGATTAACTGGAACCAATAAATCGAATTTTTGTACGAGTTTAAACGATTCCGAAGGTAGTGATAAATTTTTCAATAATTTTCATTTTACAAAATTTTGTATCAACTTGAAGTAAAAAATTGGAAAAAAATCGAAATAGTAGGTTTTTTTTCGAAAAAGTATTAATAAAAATGAACATTTTGAAAAAAAGGAAATATCTGTAAGTCAGTACGTAGTGAGATGTTGTTGAAAAAAGTATGTAAAACTCCACAACGATCGATTCAGTAATTTCAGTGCGATGATGTATACTGACTCAATAAAAATTACAATTGTTCAGGAAACGTGAATTTTATCATATCTTTTAGCTCTTGTATGATTGGACCATAAAATCAAGGCGCATATTGTAGAATATATAGAGCTTGTTTTTGCTCTTGAATTCGTAATAACTTATCAAAGTTAAAATTGATAAATTTAATTCCATTTTTAATCGACAAATTAAAAATAATTCGGTCCTGCTTGTGTCGTAAATGATCAAATAAGTAGCAGTTTTACGTTTGTGCCAAAAACGATACGATACTTGAAAATCGTGTTCAGTAAAAGATATATTCAAGTGAAAAATATGATTCGATTTTGTCAAAACGTCGAATATCGTTTTGTTTCGTGCGTTACATGTTTACATTTGTTGCTTATACTAGGCGCGTCTAAAGCTCTACTTGTCTTAAGAGGTGAGGACTGCGCGTACTTTCCAGTCGTTCAATTTAGTACACATTTTGTCGCCACAGCGTTAAAATCAATCAATTATATTGCCACGACTACGTCGAGTTATTCTCGTGAAAAAAAGTAAAAAATATTTCATACTTGCGCGTTGTTACAAAATGTTGTCTAATTACGACGACGAAAAGCGACAAGAACTCGATCGCCTCAACCAAAAAAAGGTAAAAAGATTGAAGAAAACCGTCGCAAATATTAAATGGAAGCGCAAGAATGATCGACACGATTTTTATCGTAGACTTTGCCCTTTTATCAGTGATTGGGAGAGTCCATTTCCGAATCTCCGGGACATTTTTAATCATGATCAAATCGAGTGGCTTTTCATGGAAGATGTGAATAAGAGCAATGTATCCGACCCCGATTACGAAAATGTCACCTTCGTCGACTTTGCCATAAAGGCCGGCTACATAGACGAGTTCGTCGTAATAAAAAGCGGCAAGCCGGTACTTCGTCGCGTCACGCCGATCCATCACGCGGGAAGAAATCCCAAGTGTTCTCGAGAAGTCGTCGACAGTCTGTTCAGAATTTACAACAAGTTTGACAGGAACTACATCGACGAGGAGTTCGGCCTCACTCATTTTCAAGTGGCCTGTATGTTCGGCTGCGTCGAGGCCGTCGAGAAATTCCTCGAGCTCGGACAGGATCCCAATCAGTACCCGATGGCAAAACCTGACCCAGCGAAGTCGATCGATCCGCCGCTGCACTTGGCTCTCGAGCGCAAACACGCCAAGATCGTCGAGCTGCTGATGAAAAAAGGAGCCGACCCGAGTCTGGTTAACGTAAACGGAATGACGCCTGTGCACGTAGTGTGCCAGAAAGCCGATGAAGACGATGACGACCTTCTGGAACTATTCTTCAAAGTATGTGACCAAAACCATCGAGAGGTACAGATCGATGCTCGGGACAAATTAGGTAACACGCCGCTGCACTTGGCTCTGATCAAAGGCAAAAAGAAAGTAGCCGAATTACTGCTGCGGAAAGGTGCCAATGCAAATTTAGCCACCAAGAATGGATACACTCCTCTACACTTGATTGGCAAGTATACCTACGACGATGACTTGCCAGAGATGTTCTTCAAAGTCTGCGACGAACAACAGCTGAAGGTTCGAGTCGACGCCCGGGACAAGTCGGGCAATACACCATTGCACTTGGCTCTGGTCAATGGTCATGTCAAGATGGTCGAGCGGCTGCTGAGACACGGCGCCAGTCCGAACTTAGCCACCAAGGATGGATACACCCCTCTGTTCTTGATTTTTCAGATGAATCGGCATCAGCACGTCAGCTTTCTGGACTGCTATAAAAAAGAAATGGCCGAATCGCTGCTGAGACACGGCGCGAATCCTTACGCGATAGACAAGGATGGATCGACTCTTTTGCACACTCTTAGCCAAAGAAGCAGCGATAATCATTTGGTGAAGATGTTTTTTGAGATCTGCGACGAGGTCGGTCGGCCGTTGCGGGTCGATGCTCGGGACGAACGCGGCGACTCCCTGTTGCACGCCGCTACGCGCCACCATAACGAAAAATTGTCCGAATTACTTCTGAGCATAGGTGCCGATCCGAACTCGCGTAACAAGAATCGAGAGACTGCTCTGCATATCATTTGCCAAAGAAGAAAATATTATTCAGCGAAGACGTTCTTCAAGATCTGCGACGAGCTACACAAGTCGGTCGACGTCGATGCTCGGGACATATCGTACCGGACGCCGCTGAGCCTGGCTCTGACGAACCGAGACGAGAGGCTGGTTGAATTGCTGTTGAAACGGGGCGCCTGTCCAAATACAGCCGACGACGAAGGATCGACCGTTCTGCACCTGTTCTGCCAGAGAGAATACCACGTCGAAATGGCGAGGCTGTTCTTCAAGATCTGCGACGAGCTAAATCTGGAGCTCCACGTCGATGCTCGAGACAAATCGCACCAGACGCCGCTGAGCCTGGCTCTGGAGCACGCGGACGAATATCTGATGGAATCGCTGCTGAGAAGAGGGGCCGATCCAAATCTAGCTAACGAGGAGGGATCGACCGCTCTGCACTTTATCTGCCGCGAAAAACGCGACAAGAAAATGGCGGAGCCATTTTTCGAGATCTGCGACGAGCTGAATCTGAAACTCGACGTCGATGCTCGAGACGGATCGGGCCGGACACCGCTGCACCTGGCCATCGAGCACGACGGCTGGCTTGTTGAATCACTGTTGAGAAGGGGTGGCGATCCGAATGCAGCCGACGGCGCGGGTTCGACCGTTCTGCAGTTCATCCGTGGGGGAAAATGCTGGCCGAGTATAGCGAAGCTATTTTTCAAGATCTGCGACGAGTTAAATTTGAAGGTGGACGTCGACGATCGAGACGGACGCCGGGCACCAATGTGTCCGGCTCTGTTGTGCGGAAACGCGGAGCTGGTCGAATTGCTGCTAAGAAGAGGAGGGGCCGATCCGAACGCCACCGACAAGGATGGATCGACGCTATTGCACGTTCTCAGCCGAGATATCAGCGATAGCGATATTTATTCGGCGAAGATATTTTTTGCGATCTGCGACAAGGTCGGTCGTCCGTTGCAGGTCGACGTCCAGGACAAGAGGGGCAATACGCCGTTGCACTTGGCTCTGATGCACGGAAACGGGTGGCTGGTCGAAGTACTGCTGAGAAGAGATGCCGATCCGAATGCAGCCGACGATTACGGATCGACGCCTCTGCATATCATTTGCCAGGGAGAAAAAGATCATCAATCAGCAGAGATGTTTTTTGAGATCTGCGACGAGCTACACAAGTCGGTCGACGTCGATGCTCGGGACATATCGTACCGGACGCCACTGAGCCTGACTCTTATGTACGGAGACGAGAAGCTGGTCGAATTGCTATTGAAACGGGGCGCCTGTCCAAATACAGCCGACGACGACGGATCTACTATTCTGCACCTGATCTGCCAGAGAAAATACGACGTAGAAATGACGAAGCTGTTGTTCGGCATCGCCGACGAAAAAAATCGGCTGGTGCAGGTCGATCGCGAGGACAAGTGGGGCCGTACACCGCTGCAATACGCCGTGGCGAATCTCCACGTGGTGATGATCGCGATTCTGCTCGATCGTGGCGCCGATCTGCCCAACTTCGTTTTTCCCAGCGCGGACGAGTTCGAGCGGTACTTCGAAGGTGACACATGGACGCAGAACAGAGATATCGAGTTCGAGGTGTTGATGCCGCTGATCTTGGAGTCGCTGGAGAAACGAGGCTACCGGCTGGACCGACGCGGCGCCTCTACGATAATCCAAATTTTGGCGTACATGTCGGTGCACGCCGAAAAGTATTGGAACCTCGTCGATTACCCCGCGATCGAAGAATCATCTCGCGCTGCTGATAAGCGCGACAAGAAATACCCGCCGCCACTCAAGAGTCTTCATACTCAAGAAGAATGCGGGTTGCCAAATCCGAACACCGAAGAATGGAGAAATCCGGTTCCGTCATCCAGCCCGAACTTTTACGAGACAACGAACACGGAGAGAAGGCGTCTTCATACTCAAGAGGAATGGAACCGCGGGATGGAATGCGGGTTGCCAAATCCGTTCACCGAAAAATGGAGAAATCCGGGTTCTTGTTCGAGACCGGACTCGTACGCGACAACGCACACGAAGAGAAGGCGTGACCACACTCAAGATGCGATGATTCGGGACCCCTGGACCGTCTACGGGCCGCCAAATCTGTACAGCGAAGAGTGGATAAATCCGGTTCCCTGGAACTTCTACGGGCCGCCGCATCTGTGCACTCGAAGCGAGGATAATCCGGAACCCTGGAACTTCTACGAGCCGCCAGCTCGGACGAGCCGCTTCGTGTATCGTCCGGAGGAGCTCAGCCGTTCGGAATCGCCTGACGAAGCCCGGCCCAACGACCCGGAATCGGACAGCGAAGAATTGGCCGACTACGAGGAGTATCGGGCCGTCGTCGCGGAGCTCGCGGCGAAACGCCACCCGCACGAGGCGCCCAGGTGGCGAGGATTTCTCCTGCGTTGGGCCGCTAAATCCTTGGCGGAGCTGACGTCGCGACTGCCCGAGTCCTGCTGCGAGGGGATCGTCGAGCGACTGACCAACGTCGACCTGCTGAACGCGTGCGTGGCCGCGAGATTCGCCGAGTGGAGAGCGGACGCGCGGACACGCGATCGATACGCCTTTCGTCGCTTGTCGCTCTCGAGAAGGTATATATTTTCTATTATCTGATAAAATTCATTTCGAGATTATCCGCTCGTGACCTTTCTGTGGTTAATTTTTTGTACAGGCAATATTGGCAGGGTGGAAGCGACCCCGAGGACGTCAGGTATCCACCGCCGTGGCGCCCAGAAGCTTATAACCGTTTTTATGGAAATGAAATAAGTTTCGCTTCGATAAAATAACACCTTTCGATACAGATATAAGTTAAGTGATGCCACACAGTGCTATAAAGTTCATAAGGAGAAAGTAAGACGATATCGTTTAAACTCGCTGTATTGTTTGTTTACATTTTATCGATCGCCGACTTGTAAAGTCCGACGTGAATGGAATTTTTGAAAATAAATCGTTCGTTGAATTGTATGTTTATAAAATTGAAACAATCGACTGGATAATTAATTAAAAACCAAAGACTCTCCTTTCCTCGAAAATACAAAAAATAATAATAATAATAAAATTGAAAAATTAGTTGATCCAAAAGTCGTACTGCACTCTCGCACGAGTAGATAGAAGCACCGCAGTGGCAACGGCTTTTTTGGAGTCTGCGCCCTGCACTCGTGTGCATCTCTCTCTCTACATATATATATATATATATCTAAGTATATATCTCCACTGCTGCTGCTATACACACGCCGCAGCAGCCACCCACCCAGCTCGAGCATCCTCACCTTCTCTCGGATCGTGACAGTAGCGACTCGGATGTCGCTGGATTCTGTTCTGCGCTGCCTCGCGGTCACTCGCGACATTTCTCTCGAACGAAACAAAAAAAAGGCATCCGCCGTCGTGTGTCGTGTAATCGTCGAGGATGCGCATATTACGCGACGTAACGTAAACCAAGTGGGGTGATCGGTACTATGTAATATCGATATATCGTGTACACGAGTGAATTTCGCGTGCGATATAATAATGCGCTGCAGCTGCAGCTGCTGCTGGACGAATCGGCCATGGGCGGCATGAATGGGATCGGGAGCTGGTGCGGCGCTACGGCGATTATCGTAGCGGGGCTCGTCTCGTTGCTGCTGATCAATGGCAAGTATATAATATATTTATAATCAAAAGCGTTACGTCCGCTTCGAGATACGCTCGTGAATTACGAAACTTGGTTGTGTTTTTGCATCGGATGTAATTGGTGCATCGTCGCGAACGATTCTATTTTGAAAGCTACTATTTACATATAAAACTGCGCGAGCTGCACTCGTCGCACTCGTCTTAATCGAGTTTACGACTTTGCAAAAGCTTAATCCTGTAGGAGTGTTATTCTTGTCCCCTCGCTGCGATATCCGTTCTATTATACGAGATCGCGATAATGCGGAAAGTTTGTGTAAAGATAAACTTTTCCAACTGTGTGCTACAAGCTGTACTTAATAATCAAAGATCGCGATCGTCGTCCGTTCCCTTGTAATATCGTGTATAAAATCTCGGGTCGACTGTACATCCACGAGAGCCGAGCGAATATTACACAGTCGATTCGCAACGCCCGCCGCGTGTACACGATTCGCACTTTTTAATTATGCCTCCATTCACGCGATGTATATACGGGCCGTGTCGCGCACGTGATTAATGAGATACATTCATGCAGTCGAGAATGGTTCATCATAGAGAGGCAAGCAGATTTCTCTCTCTCTCCCTCTGAAGGAGTCTTTGATTGCTGTACGTAAGGATCGACGACACACCCCGTGTCCGATGAAAAAGAGAGAGAGAAAAAAATATTCGAGAATATATCCTTTCTCTGTATCGCTTTGAAAATTTTCTGCCTCGCTCGGCAGATTCGAGGGCAGGAGCGAAGGCAAATCTCTGCGAGTCGAGGGTGACATTTTTCTCTCTCTCACGCCCAATTTGATGAAAAGAAAATCTACGTCATTAGATTTCTCGAAGGGGGTCGTAAAGGAGAGATAATTTATTTCTCGTTGCTTTGATTTTCACGGTTGTTAATTCCTTTTGGATGAATCGATCGAGTAATTTAAGATTTCAATATTCGTGCACGCGCTTTTTTTTCAGAAAGGAAATTTATTTAGTTTTCTCCTTTTTGCGTTCGGAGCACTGAAAATTCGTTTTATGAGATTCGAATTTTCATGCAAAAAAATAAATACACGCACGTGTTTGACTGCTGCGTTACCAATACAGGTGTTTTTTTCAAACATACATGTATCTACATTATAAACTCGCACACCGAGAACAGCAAGTGTTTGGTCGTTCTCAATTTCGTTAAACGTCCACCCTATTCTTTCGTTCTATTCGCCCTCTGTGTAATACGCGTTACGATCCGATTGGAATTTAGTTACATCAAGTATCACTACTTATACTACTCCTACGTTCCTCTCCTTGTTTTTTTTATTTTGACTCAACCTCTCACGCATAATGTCATTCTGGATTTATTTTACTTTTATTATTTTTGCCGCTGCTCTCTCTCTCTTTCCTTTCTTTTATGCTCATTGTTGTACTACGCGTGGTACAACGTTTTTACGACGGGCAAGATTACATGCCTTTCTCTCTCTCTCTCGCTCGCTCTTGTTTGCAATAAAATTTCGAATGCAAAATGATAAAAAGATGAGAGAAAAAACTAGGCTCTCGCGCAAAAAACTTTCATCCGAAACGGATGATAAAAAAATAAAGTACTTCTTAATATTTTTTCGCGTGTGTGAGTGCGCGTCTCATAAATTCTTGACCCTAAGCTAGCTCTGCGCAGATCGAGCATCTTCAACCCCTCTGCTATCTCTCTCTCTCTCTTCCCCCCTACTATTTTTGGTTTTGGCATTAAGAGTCTCTCTCTCTTTCCGTTTCTTTTCTTTTATCACACGGCTGGCTCGCGAACGCTCTACACTCGCGCGAGTTCGCAACGTTATATATACGATATATATACGTATAAGCGAGCTATATAGGGCCATATACCATACAGCAGCAGCAGCACGAGGAGGACGCGCGAGATTCGGTGCGCAAGGTACACTTGAAAATTTATGCAACTTTACGAAAGAAAGTTACATTTTTGTTAGTCGTCGACGGTGATAAAACTTTATTACTTCGTTCTTCTTCCTCTATCCTCTTTTTTTTCTCTCTCTCTCTCTCTCTCTCTCGTTCCTCCTTCATCTTTTCGCACTCCACTTGCTCTCGCCCAGCGCGCTTGCTTTCCTCCTCTCTCTCTCTCCATAGGGACAAAATAAAAATGTCGACTTTCGAGTTTTTACGGTAGTTTACGTATTATATTATTTTATTATTATTATTTTTTTTTGTAGTCGTCGTCGTCGTCACCTGCGCGTGGAAAAACAACAACAACGAGCGAGCGAGCGAGCGTCGAGTCTCTCTCTCTCGTAAATCACCGCGGTTACCTCTACCTACGCTTAAAGCTTAGACTTGATTAATAATGCTGTGCTGCGCATCCCCGAGCTTTCGCCTGCTGCTGCTGCCTTGGCAGGCGCTCGACTTATAATAGTAATTCAAAACTTCAGAAGCAAAATATAATTCGCGATTTAAAGCGTCGTCAGCGCCTGTATTATTTACCGTCGCGATGCGAATCTTTCGCGTGTAGTATAGTGGCTGTATATAACCGTCGTTTTTATCTAGAGGATGGAAAAGCGTACAGCCGATAAATACCGGGGCCGAATATAAGCTCGCGCGCACGAGAGCAGGTGCTGCTGCTGCGGTGGTGGTGGTGGTATCGATATCCCCTCGTGGGAAATGTCTTCGTCGCTGATCGTCTTTTGACGCGCGTCGCTGCGAAGCTGTATACAGTGTACATAGCCGATAAGCGGGGGATGTTCCTCGAAGAAGAAGAAGAAGGCGTAAATGAGAGAGTTCGGCATATTTATCTATACGCGTACACGTGTGTTCCGAGAGATTACGACGTGCACGCCGTGACCGATTTTCCGTCGAATGAACCAAGAATATGGATATTTCGATATCACACGTGTTTTTCCTTCTTTCGAATATTCAATTTGACAGGGAGAGAGAATCGACCACGCGTATAAATACAGCGCTGATGAGAAAAGTTTTATTTTCGTGAATCGAGCGCGCAAAATTTCGCGCGCGCTGGGCAATCCCGGATTAGAGAATCGCGCAGAATATACATAATATCGCCGTAGCAGCCAGCAGCAGCAGCAGTTTCAAGAGGCATTACATTTTAATTTCAAATTTCAGCGAATGTAAAATAAAAGTTCATAAAAAATATAAAGAGAGAATCGCCGATATAAATGCGTATATTCAGAGCACTGCTGCTGCACTACTGTAGCAGCAGCGGACCAGCCCCGCAGCTAGCGAGCGAGTTTCGCTCGTCATGCAGTTTTACGTCGCTTTTCGAGTAGTGGAGCTTTAAAATAAGTTAACTCTCTCTTTCTCTCTCGTTGCGTATAATACTCGGGCAAAATTTTCAAAACTAATTTGTTGGGAAAGTTTTCTTGTAAAAAAAAAAGTAACGAGCGAAAAAAATGAAGTAAAAAAGCAACCGAGTACAACGCACGCAGTTCGTATAATGCCGAGTGAAATAACGATTAACCCCGCGAAGGCGTCGATATATGAATTTTCTCGGGGGAGGAAAAAAATCGTCGTGATTGAATTTTCAAATACGTATATATACGAGCTATAGAGAGAGATCGGTCGGTGTTGCGGACGCGTGCGCAAAAAAAAGGGGAAGAGATCCATGCGATCGTTATATTTCCTGGTGCTTCAGCAACTTTCGTTTCGTTAAAAAAAACGCGAACAAAAAAAAAAGAATTTGCAAATCTCCCAGCGAGACAAAATCATCCAATTGCCAGCGTCGCGCGCATTGTAGTAGTAGTCGTCGTTGTCGTCGTCATAGTATAGCAGTATAGTGAGTGAGCTGCAAACGATCAAAAAAACTGCGTCGTCGCTACTTTTTTTTTGCCTCCGCCGTCACTGCTGCCAGACCAGATCGTACGGTACGTATACGACGGAGGAGAAAAGGGCAAAATTAACGACAAGTTTCCTAGGCTCTCTCTCTCGGCTGAAATATATATATAATGTGACAGTTAGATTGCTGTTGGCAACTTGTAACGTATGGCATCAATAGCATCAGCGAAATTACTTTTGTTCGGCGCTACACGCGCCGCCGCCGCCGCCGCGTACTTTGCGGTTTCATACTCGCAGCAGCAGCAGCAGCCTTTTTCTCCGCCACGGAGTATAGAGGGAAAAACCACAATCGATACTTTCGACTGCGCTAAGCTGGATTTTAACTCGTTTATGTGATGAAAATAAAGAATAAAAAAAAAAAGAAAAAAAGTAGAGAGGAAGCACGAGGCGGAGGAAAAAAGGGGGTATAAAACGTGACTTACTTTTCAACTGTGCGAAATAAAGATAATATAAAGCGTTATCTGGGATACCGATACAACGCCACGCGAGAACACACCGTGACGCAGAAAAAAGTGCGTATACAGAAATGAAACGTTACGAAGCTCGCCCTAAATCCCGTAATCACTTCGATCCATCGACTGTACAAAAATTTCATTTTGCTCCCTCCGTACCCCATCCAAAGCGCGCGACGAAACAAGGACAAAGCGAGAGAGGCGAGATAAAAAAAAAAAATCAAAAATAGGAAAAAAAAATGCTCGCGCATCAAGTATTTACGTCGTGGGCGAAGGGGGGTGGTGGTGCAGTACACACAAACGCAACGCGCAACAACATGCCCGCGGGCACGCCACTGGATATAACAAATTGGTTTTAATCATTGAAAGCGTTTGCTCGACTGCTTCAGCGCTCTGACGAGTGCATGTGTGTGAGAGTGTATGACCAATTTACGCTTAAAAACATTTTTTATTTATTACACCGGCGCGTGTATCAATTAGAAACGCGCGCGAAGGAAAAAAATGTACATATATAAACTAAAATTGTCCGAAATCTGTGCGCTCTTTGTTGTTGTTTTGTTATTTTGTTTTTTTTCCGTTCGGCTCATCAAAGCTGCACGCATGCGGTCGAATCGCGCTCGCGTCCGGAACAATATTTTGATTCGATAATTTTTCAAATCTAGTTGCGCGTATACATATTATATACTTTGAAAATCGTAAAATTGGTCGTAGTTGAAAGGAAAAACAATTTTAAGCTCTTCAATTACGCGGATCTACTGTACCGCCGATACGTTTTTTTCCTCCTTTTTTTTTTTAATACAGTCGCCGTTATTTGAAAAAAGCAGCTCGATCGGATGCACAGGCAGGACTCGTGCCGTACACGCGCGAGTGCAGGAAAAAGCGATGAATATTCATAAGCATATTTCGCAATCTCTGCTACACGCGGGAGTCCGGTCTTCTCCACCGGCGAGAGAGACGCTATTAGCTTATGCTACACAGCTTTTGCTCCGTACATAGCGCATTTGTTCCTCTTTTTTTTCCTACGATTCCATCGCGTCTCTCTCTCTGCTTTACTTCTCAACGCTGCGCTGTGAAAAAGCATAAAGAATGATGCATCTCTCTCTCTGTCTTTTTTTTCGCGCTGCGCGCGTTTCGCGAAAGGAATTCTTCGGCAAAATTTTCCAAAGTTCTACTAAGCGTGCAGCAGCAGCAGCAGCACACAAAGTTTGCGTTCGCGCTTTGGCGCTGCTACCGCGTGCTAAACTTCCTTAAATTCTTCAAATCGCAAAGTAAAAAGGCTCGAAACAATGTTTGCGAGTAGCTAGCAGCACGTGCTTTATATATAAAATTCTCGAGTCAAAAATTTGTCCCAGGCGCGTGAGCGCGCGCGTTTAATAAAAAAAAAAAAAAAACAGAGCGAATTTCGTTTGCTATTATTTATTATTTTATGCGTGACACAACAACAGGTGCCACGAGCTTGAAAAATTTGAAAATAATCGCGCCCGAGCGGGTGAGGGTGGGCGACTCGGCCCTGCTCACCTGCAGCTACGACCTCGAGGACGCCCAGCTCTACACGATCAAGTGGTACTTCGAGGACGAGGAATTCTTTCGCTACGTGCCCAAGAAGGATCCGCCCCACGTCACCTTCCCGGTGCGCAGCATACAAGTCAACGTGAGTATTATTACTTGGTATATTTACTTGTATTCTGCTTTACTTGGTCTCGAGCTTTTTTTCTTCGACACACAGAAAAATCCATTTAGGAAAAAATTACTCATTTTATTGTAAAAGTGTGACATCTTTGACTTATAATAATTCTATAAAATGTATCAACTTTATTTGAAACGTAAGGTAAAGCGGGGGAATACGCCATAGCTAAGGAAAAAATTGGAATAAAAAGGAATGAATGTATGAAATCAAATCTTAGGCATTGAGGACTGTAAAAAACACGTTCATGTATTATAAGAAAAACAAAATTATCACTTTATATTGTTATTTTAATAGTTATAACAAATTTAGCAACTTGGTTCAAAAGTGGCGTTTTCCCCAAGCATGCGGGAACAATATACCCTTAATCTGAATACAATGAAAAAAATAAAATACTAATTCATTTTTGTGATCTCCTAGCGTAATACCAAGGCCAAGCTTGCATGATGTATTGTCATTATCTAGATATCGTTAACAATTTCTCTTTAAACATTTCATTGAAAATTAAACGAATGTTTGCACATTGAACTTTACGAAAAATTTTGACGCTTGAAAATCGACTGATAATAGTAGTAAAAAATCAGCTCTTTCGTGTCGATGTAATCGGATTATCATAACGTAAATCCCAATAGGTCACTAATCTAAATTTTCTTTCTTATAACGATAATATAGCACAGTGGCGTCTTCCCCATTTTATCTTATTAAAAATTACAAAAACAATAGTAAATTTACTATAAAATTAGTGCTTCTTCCTATATGGATTTCTCCGTCACTCGTATAACGTATATCGCTCGTCTCTCTTTCCCATTACACACAGGTCTCCGGCTCCAATGCCCAGGACGTGACGCTGCTGGGCCTGAGGCGCGACCACTCGGGCCGCTACAAGTGCGAGGTGTCGGAGGATCAGCCGCGCTACGACACCAAGCTCCAGGAGGCCGACCTGCTGGTGGTCGACGTGCCGGAGCTCGAGCCGAGGATAGCCGTGGACAAGCAGCGCCTGGCGGACGGCGACACGCTCAGGGCCAACTGCACCTCGGGCGCCTCGCGGCCCGCGGCCAACATCACCTGGAACGTCAACGGAAAGCCCGTGAGTGTATATCCTCGAGGATTATTTAGTCCGTCTATATCCGCCGTCATTTCACTGTCTTTTCTTTCGTTTCTTTTGTTGCTCTCTTTTTTTAACGCAGCTCAACGGCAGCCGGATGAAGTTCAGCGTGAGCAGCCACGTCATGCAGATAATCAGCGACGACAGGCAGAGGTCCCGATCGATCCTCCGGCTGGACACGAGCAACTTGTTCCGGGACAATCGAATCCATCTGAGATGCTTCGCCGAGATAAGCCCCGTGTACAAGGGCTCGGCTTCCTTGGAGATCATCCAAGACGGACCGTACGTCGCCTCGCCACACAGTCACCGTGAGTATACGAAAAATCGTTAACGACGTTATTTTTTCTTTGTCTCGCGCGGTCGACGATTCCCTTAGGTCGAATGCAACAATTTTTTTTTTCGGAGTCTTTATACATTGATACATGGAAATTCTCATCAGAAATTGATAAGAGTTACAAAAATCTGAAAAGCCCATAAAATTCCTTAAAAAAAAATGCGATCTAAATAACCTACTATAATGTAGATACTACCGTAAAAAAAGTTGAATAGTGATTTTTCCTTTAACAACAGACTCAAATACAGATTTGTTGATATTCATTTTAAGAAACTACTTAAAATTTAGGACGCGTGATGATTGATGATAAAAAAAATATATTCGTGTTTGAAAATAGCATAGTGGCATAAAAGTGTTTATCTATTTTTTTTATAACAAATAATGAGTTCTAATTTTATACTGTAGCCTTTATTTACGAAATAGATTTGTCATTATTTTAAAAAAATATTAGTGAATAAAAAATATTTTGTAAGCAAAAGAAAAAAAATCTTGCATTTGCGGACTAGGAAAGTATCCTTTTTTGTGTTTTTTAAGTCGCTGAATCAGTGTGCAGGGTCGGTAATTTGTGATTTTCAAATGAGAAGAGGTGAGGGTTATAATATCGAAGACCTGTAACAGCGTCAGAGTATAAAAGCTTTCCAAATACTTAACAAATTTGTTCTTCAAGTTGATGAACTACAACTATGAGTTTTATAAAATTACTCGCTTCATTCTTCGTATTTATGATCTTTGATATTTTCATGAACTGCGGCAATGTGTCGATTCAAGCACTTTCTTTCGCCAAAGGCTTTCCCACATTCCTCACACATGTGTTTTTTGAGTTTCAAATGAACTACGTCGATGTGTGTCATAAGATTACACTTATGTCCAAAAGACTTTTCACATTCTTCACATTTGTGATCTTTGATTTTTTCGTGGATTGTATCAATGTGTCGATTCAAGCACTTTCTTTCACCAAAGGCTTTCCCACATTCCTCACACATGTGTTCTTTAAGTTTCAAATGAATGGCATCTATGTGCTTCAAAAGACCACTCTTTTGTCCAAACGACTTGCTACACTCGAAACATTTGTGTTCTTTAAGTTTCAAATGAACTGCATCGATATGACTCATCAGATGACTATTTTGTCCAAACGATTTGCCGCACTCTCCGCAATTGTGATCTTTGATTTTTAAATGAACTTGATCTATATGCTTCATCAGATCACTTTTCCCTCCAAAAGATTTGCCACACTCTTCGCATTTGTGGTCCTTCATTTTTTCATGAACTGTTGCAATGTGCTCAGCCAAGCTTCTCTTATAACCAAAAACTTTTCCACACTTTTCGCACATATATTCTTTTATGATTCTTAAATGGACTCTATCTATGTGACTCATCAAACAACTTCGTTGTGAAAAAAGCGCGCCACACTTCTCGCATTCGTGTTCTTTGAGTTCCAGATGAGCTCTTTTAATGTGTCTGATCAGAGTACCTTTATGTCCAAAAAGCTTGTCACATTCTTCGCACTTATTTTTTTTGATTTTTAAATGAACTCGATCTATGTGCTCCATCAAAGTACTGTTCCGAGCAAAACAATTGCCACACTCTTCGCATTTGTGGTCCTTGATTTTTTCATGTACTGCGGCAATGTGTCGGTTCAAGATACTTTTGCGTCCAAAAACCTTCCCACACACGTGACATGTGTAATTTTGGATTTTTGGATGGACATTCAGAGCGTGATCATTCAAATGTTCTTTCGTGACAAAAGACTGTTCGCAATCGTTGCAAACAAATTTTCTTTGTTTCAAGTGAACACCATCCGCGTGATTCTCCAATTTTTTTTTAGTTAGGAAAATCTTGCCACAATCATCACATCCGTGTCTATGTTCTTCCGAAGCTGACATTGTAAAATCTCTTGACCTTTCAATTTAAAATTATTTACCATCTAACTACTGATACTACTGTATCTCAACTGTTCTAATTCCAGATCTCATGTATACTTTTAGATTCGGCAGTTGAAATTTTGTTTACATCGCATTACATATACTCGACATTTATAAAGTGGAAATAAAACAACGTTTATAAGATATACCTGACGAAATAAATTTGAATTTATTAAATTCATCAATAAATATTTAGAATTAATTAATATATTTCAGGAATTTCACACAATGCATTGAAGATTGAACAATTCAACCGAAAGAAACAAGACTTTCAATCTTACGTTTTTTGATCTTTTCAAAAAAAATAATCACCACATCTTTTGTAATATGTTGTCATGTCGAGACTACCACAAACGAAAATAATTAAATTTTCATTAAATTTAGTATTTTTTAGTAAAACAAAATCAAACAAAAAAATTTTTTTACAATAACAACAATTAGATCATATTTAATACCATATTAAATTCCATCCCCTCATATGGACATGATACAATAGTTAATGTATGAATTCTGCTTTTTTGAGTTTTTATCAAATGTTTTTGCAATAAATCCCACTCGATTTCTTTAACATTCAAACTGAGGTATTTTAGGTTTTTTGCGATCTCCAGCCAAGCGAATAAAAAATGTTCTTCTAATCCATAACATTGTAAAAAATCAAGTTCTTCTAAATTGGGGAAAAACTTCAGTGTACTCCCTGTCCAATTGGGTGCGCGAGCTAAACTCAGGCCTTTCAATTGACGTAGCTCGGATAAACGACCAATTTGAGCGTCGGTTATCCTTGTGTAAGCCAATCGTATTGACTGCAACGAAGAATAATTTTTTAATATAAAATCCAAATTTTCATTTGTCAAGAGACCACCCTGGAGAAACAAGTGCTTTAATTTTGGATTGATCGGTAAAAAACTGTAATCGACACTACTTTCTAGTAAGGTAAGGTTTAGATTCACTGCAGTGGTATCAAGGCGTGTTTTATTTTCAAACTTAAAATTCAATCCGTACAAAACCAAATTATCGAGTTTTTGAAAATGGTTCAAATGCTGAAAAAAATAATATGATTAGAAAATTGTGTGGTAGTAGTTACATTTAGATTTCAAGGGAAGCAATTACAAATAAGAAAAAATACAATAACACAATGTGAGATGTTCACGAACTCAGATGTACCCACATTTTTTTTAGATGTTTATATTTATTAGAAATTTATGTACGTATCATATCACTCATTTTTGAACATTCAAAATTCAGTGTCGAACAGAAATAAAAATTCTTAGAAAATGTATAATAGATGATCTTAAAAATGTTGAAAAAGAGTCCCGTACTCTTTACGAGAAAAAATTCAAAGAATAAAAAATAGTTAAAATTAATTAGAGTTTTTTTTTGAGATAAAAAATCGCGAAGAATATTTTTAAATCAGTAAATAATTTTTAAAAATACAGATCAAAGAAAACCTTAAATTACATCATACCGATTAATAATTGTATGTGCTTACCTTGAATACTAATTCAGCAGATATTGGTTTAGAGACACTATCCAGAATGTTTATTCTTAAAATCCTCAACGTTTTTGGTAAGGATTTCAAAGTTGACAATAAAAATGATTGCTGTTCGTCAGTCCTTATGTAACAATTGAATTCTTTCAAATTATCAGCATCTTGTAGCAAAGTGTTGAAATCTGCAGAGATTTTTATGCGAAGGAATGAATCGATAGTGATCACCTCTAAATTATGGATGTTGGCTTTCAGAAATTTTTGGACCAAGTTTCGCGAAACTCGAACATTCCACGTAAAACTTCTTAACATGTTTGTTTCGGATTCACTCAGCACTTCAAGAATCTGATGAATCAATTTTACGAAATCTCTTTTGAGTACCGAGGGTAAATGCCTTTTGTAAGCTATCGTAATATGAGATATACACTTCAAATAGGGAAATATTTTTTTCACGTCATCTATAGTTTTTTGTTCTTTCATGAAGGCATAAAATTCGCTTGCCGAAACATTTTTCCATGCTTCGAATGAAAGTTGTTTCCATTTGCGACAAACTAAAGAAACATAAATATTATTGTTATCATCATCACAGTTATCTATCATACGTATTATTATTGATAAAAATAGAATGATTATTCAATTAATAGAGAAAGAGTCTTCAAACAGTCAAAGCATCTAAACATATACTCCCATAAACTGGAGCCTATAAACACAAAGACAAATTAAAATTATAAAACTTTATGTCTGCAGTGAAAACGAAAAATGGAGTTACTTGTTTATTTAAACCCAGCAAAAAATTATTTGAACCTGAGTACTCGAAAAATTGAAAAAAATATCCAATTAATTTAGATAGATATTTCTTGTAAACAAGCATGACTTCTGGACTTACATAGTTATAGAAACTAAAATTGAATATTGAATTACAATACACTAAAATAAAAAGAGTGTTTTATGTAAATTGATTGATTACCTTTTGCTATATTTATGAGATCACTTGGTTTCAAATAACTCCATATATGTAATAAGGAATATTCATCTAATTCATTAATGGTACAATTACTTTTACTTTTGATATGCTCCATACTTCTTGTTACTTTTTATTCAACACCTAACACTGTATTTACTGTAATTAAAATAGAAAAAATCCAGAAATAACCGATTCTTACGAACGCATCCGACTATGTCAAGATGAAAAACGTAACGTACGAGTATCGGTCGAATTTTCTCTGACGCGTAAACACGTGCGTATTTTTCAGAAAGTGAAAGTAAATTTTAATACTAACCAGCTGATATCCCGGTAAGCTGGGGACTCGTGTTGTCCGAAACAATAACATAACTTTGAACGTGATCAATTACTTTGAAATTATTCTGACAAGTACAAAAAATAAAAATTTCACGTATCGGTAAGCCTGGAATTCGGAAATTATTATATATTTTTTTAAACAAAGCAGAAGAGTTTCTTGAAAATTAGCAATATGATCGGTCTACTGAGTAAATTTTCATTCGAATTATAGTTTCTAACAAATAAGCACAACAATTTTTAATTTTCTTTATCGAAAAATATTCGATATAGAAACAGCGGAAAATCTGCGCTTTCTCGCGCGCGTATACAACTTTGAAAATCATCCGCGTTCGTTGCAATTACACGATGCACAGCAGCGCCAGCTATATATATATATACGATAAACATATATAATGATTTATATAGAGATCCACCAAGCCCCGGAGTACACACTCAACATAAATAAGCAATCACCGCGGCGTATGTGTGTGTGTGTGTAGCCTCACTGCTGCAGACGATTTATGTGTATCTATTGCCGCGCGGCAGTAGTAGTAGTAGTTCTGCACAAGTACTCGAGGGACGAAAGTAGAGACGCTTTGTGGAATCACGCCGTTTCGCGACTGAGCTCCAACTCTCTCTCTCTCTTTGGCAGCTTTCTATACGTATATACATCGCGTCTATGCATTTGATGGGCGATTTCTAGGGCGCCAAGTATCCCATAAAGTCCCTAACAGGTCTCGAGGCATATAAATGTACAGAGACCCGAGTACCCTCGAATTGCGCGCACATACGTACGCGCGTTTTATGCGTTTGCCTATATATAAATACAAGCGTATACCTCGAGTCGATCCAACGAGGAATGATAATTGCGTAAATTGCTCATTTTCTCTTTTTCAACGCACACTTAATCCCCTATTATTATATAGCCCGTAGTATATCGTACTTGGTTAAGGTACATTAAAAAAGCCGCACGATCTGATCATTGTTTTCTCCTTTTTGCTTCGTGTGTTCGCAGAAACCAACGGCACTGCTGCTGCTTTATCGATCTCGACCACATTGCTGAGCTTCATCCTTTTTGGAATAGTCACGCCGTTCGCGAGATGATTATCAACGAGGGACGGAGGACATCGACGATGGCAAAAGTAAAAAAAAAAACAGAGAAAGAAATGAACATGAATCAAAGAACAAACGTCCAAACAAAAGAAAAAAAAAACCTAGTTATATCTAGGGCTTCCATTTGTTGTGTTTTTGCTGAAGTAGCCGAAGCTGCGTAATACGAGGGTATTAAAACCCATTGGAGAGAAAACACCACGTGGATGCGAAATTATTTTGAAAACTTTGAGTGCCACATATATATATGATAGAATATTATACGCGCATGTTGTATGTGTACGAATATTTTCATAGCTAATACGTTTCCACATGTTCGTGTTTCCCACAGGTTTGTTTATACACAGTTTTGGTATGATATATAGCGATTATATTAGCGTCTCGTTGAATCTATATATGCGTGCGGGAATTATTTTCCGACTGTTCTAATGACGTATATGTTTTGTAAAATTGTTATTATTACCGTTGCGTGGAGTATGTGCGTGTACATATATAATAACGGCGTTACTTTGTTGATGAAGAAACAAGAGAGTAATTTTACGATGGCATTTAACGATGTAGCTGTTAAACATAAACGTTTCGTTCGATCATGCGTTGAATTTATGTAATTATTTTTCTTCCGAACGTAATGGAAAATATATTCGAAAATTCCTGAATAAAAAAAAAATATGTGTAACGAGTGTCAACTGAATTATTCCCTACCTTTCTCTTGAATTAAATAATTTAAATTTTCTCTCTCTCGTCGCTTTCTTTGCCGAGAGGAAAGAAGAAATTTCCTTTTGATAACCGTAGCGACTCTTTGAAACCGATCCGTCCTCTTTCCTTTTTTTTTTTTGCACAAAAAAATCTGTATACAAATCCATCGCAAACGTGTAGAACAAGGAATATAATAACACTGAGAGAGTAAGAGAGAAAAAAAAGAAAAGCATAAAGAGGAGGAAAAAGCGCAGAGTCTCTCTTCTGCACGGAAGTATAAAATCCGATTGGAACGATTTGCATCGTCAAGGCGGTCTCTGTTCCGGTCGCTTCTTCTCTTTTTCCTCTTTCTCTTTCTCTCTCTCTATTCAAAACCTTTCACGCCTTTCCTGCTCCATGGGCATCGGAAGCTGCGCAGCGCGCGCCCAAGGTAAAAGTATAAGCAAGCGGCAGCAAGAGCGAGCTTCCAAAATGTATAATGCATCCTGTGCCACTGTTGCTACTACTGCCGCTGCTGCTGCTGCTGCTTCTTGAAAATTGCTTATTGTTCAGAAAGAGGGAGAGAAGGAGAGAGAAAGAGAGATTTAACGGGTGACAGAAATAAAATAACGAAACTTGCGAGATAGAGAGGGCGGGGAAACAATGAAAAATATATAACGTCTTTATTTTAGTACGATTTTGACACCCGAGCGCCGCGTTGCCTTCTGAATGCGGAATCACGGGGAAAGAGAGAGGATAAAGTCGAGCTTTCATTTAAAGAAAATAAAATGGAAATGATTCGCAGTTTATGAGGGGATAAGCGATATAGCTGAAAACTCGGCAATCGGTAATTACGTGCGATAGAACTTTGAATACATAAACCGCGGATGTATACATTTTTATATATGATTATGATAAAACTAGTGTGCGAAGCAAATGATTGAGAGGTTGTTTATCGCGAAATGATGATTGTAGTGGAATAATTACGAATTCTAGCACGAAAATATTTCGATTACGACCCATGGTGGTTGCTGGTTCAGGTCGATATTAGGTATGCAAACCCGAAGCGATGGAAAAAAAAAATTTTATTTTTAATTTGAAAATAATTTTCAACATTTTTCATAGAATCCATACCTGGATTCTATTCTATTGATCCCTATGTCCATAGAACAACGTGGGAAGTTCTCTTTTAATTAAATTTACACTTCTTTGATTTTTTATTTTTTCAAGATTTTTTAAAAATTTTCAAGACTTTTCATTTTTCAAGATTTCTCTTTTTTCATAATTTGATGTTTGCAGTTAAATGATTATAAAGAAGTTTCACGGAAGATGGCTATCCATAGACAACTAACATTATGTTGTAGGTTTACTTTACAAACTTTTTGTAGATATTTTTTTTCATCTAAGAAATAATAATGATTTTAATTTTGCATAGATACTTTTCATCTTAAGGGCCAACAGGGGCCTTATTGTTTTTAATTTCTCATTAACCGGATGAGGCTGAAAAAATAAAAAAAATTTTTTTCAAGAACACATATGAACAGTTTTCAATCCCCATTTGAAAGTATTTTGTCTGGTACCATACGTAAAAAAAAAATATGTATTGATACTCAAAGATTATTGCTCATGAGTATTACTCGTACATATATATCGTCGCCCCAGCGCAGGAAGGTATCTATTTCCAAGCTGTAGCAAAAAGGATACTTACTCGCGCGCAGCGGCAAAAAGGTATCTAATTCGAGCGAGAAGCAAAAAAGTAGCTTATTCAAACGAAGTGGCAAGAAAGTTTTGACGCGCTGAATTTAGGTTGGCAACGCAGACGTAAATGATAAAATTTTGTTTCAATATTCAATATTCAACATTTAATTCAAACTTATGTAAAGCCGGTAACTTCTACTTTTCTCTCAGAACAAACAAAGTTCTCCATAAGTGGCAAATTGAATCGAAATCGCGGTGAGATTGATTTGTTTGCTCGCACTACAAATGAATGAAAATCATTACACTAGCTCACTTGTTTTTTTTCTTTTTTGCTCTAATACAAAGCATATTTTATAGAATATGTCTGAATTTTTTAAGATTTTTATGGATCATTTTTGGTATTTTTGATTTCTGACCATTTTCAAAAATACAAAAATTTCCCCGGAAAATTCTGAAATAATTCAGGGGTCTTTTTTGAACAATTATAAGGAGTTTTTCTAAGTAAAGTTTTTTTCCTAGATGCTTGGTTAGCAGATAAAAAAATTGACCAAGTTTATACGTGGTTTTTTTTACGAGGCACCATTTTGTTGTCCACAATGTTGAATTTTCGATATTGTAACAATTGGACTTTTATGTCTACACTCCATGGACGCAAAAAATATATGTCAGACACACGGATCAAGTCTCTTTTGATTCAAAAATTTAGGTTGAATCAAAATTTTTTTCAAAAAAATCGTGTGTTTTGTTGTTAAACTGTTCATAACTTTTGTTCCTTAACATTTTTTACAATTCTGACACTGAATTCGAAAAGTTCATAAAATTTCCCATCAAAAATGACTATTTAAACATTTTTCAGATATTTTTTCACAGAGCTTATAGCACCGGAAAAAATGTGGGAAATTTCGTCCGTTTGGCCCGAAACGGATTAATTTTTTTTTGTGCTGGGTTCTAGTTTAATTACTTGCTTCATTGGCATTTCATAAATAAGATAGGAACGATAATTTTTCACGAGGAAGCTCTTTGTCAATGAATAGGAAGCGGTTTTTTTCTTTTAAATCGAAATGAGACATTTTTCAAAAAAAATCTCAAATACAGAGCAAGCGTAGCTAGTAAGGTTCAATAACTAGTGTTAATTAAGTTTTTATACTTTAATAGTTGAATATCTGCTTTATTTAGTAATTTTTATCACGAACAATAAGTATTTATAACTAGGTCTCTTATTTAATTAAAACTATTTCGTCTAATTTTGAAAAAAGGCATTGTCATCATCAGAAGCAGAGGGTGGATGAGCTTCTCTACTTTGGCATCAATATTTCTGAAGTCTTCTGCAGTCCGTCTACTGATGTATTTTTAAAATGTCCTTTGCCTATTGTTTGGGTTACCAAATCTAACAAATCTTTCATATCTAAATAATTGGCTGCTAAAGTAAGTTCAAAAAGAGTGTCCAAATCAACCTGTAACATTATTCAAAAATATTATAAAAATTTTTCTGATTTGTTAAGTAGTACATATAATTTTTGTAAACAATTGAGATTTTAAGCTTATTTCGATAATTCAAGTTATTAAATTCAATCATGGTCCACGTGTATACACTACTAACTTTACGGCATAAGCAGGTATAGATGTTGTATTGATGACAGTATTCAGCAAAGCAAACAAAGATATAATTTCTGCTCGTGTGATTTTAAATTCGAATTTTGAGTTTAAATGTTCAACTAAATTCCAACAAAAAGAATATTCAAACTTAATATTGTTTAAATACCTTTAGAAATGTTTGATCCCATTCTGTCATTTGAGGTTTTTCATCCGTGCCATCTCCTTTTGGCATGGGATCATTTTTATGATGAGTAGCGAATTCAATAACCTTTTCCAGAGTATCAGACTTAATATTTTTTAGAGTAAGAACTTCATCCAATTCTTCTTCGCCTAAACTTTCAACCATTGTTTTTACCATATATGAGCGCTTAGCGATTGCTAACTCCACGTCAAAAACGACTCCGTCAGAACTTTGCAAATGCAGGATTGGCACCTGTAATAAAATTGAAAAAGATATTGGTCAAATGGTTTACATTTATTTCATTGATTGTAGCAATAGAGTTAGTAATATTATTCTATTTTTACTACGTATACACTTTGTAAACTGAACAACTATAAAAGTTCTTGTAAAAAAATCAAAATAAATGATAGATATTTAAATTTTGTTTCGAAATAGAACTGATAGTTATTAAGTGGTAGTATTTGATAATAAATGATATCTAGTTAGACTCATTTCTATACTATACGTATACAATAAGTATGAATAAATATACAATAAAAATAAGTTAATTCGATCACGTTATCAGAAATTTAAAAATACGTCTTCGATGCCTCGGACACCGTCTACCCAAATACATAGATCATTCACAGCATATTCATTTCGAAAGTACGATCGATCCAATACTTCAGTGAAAGCAGATGTTCAACGGATAAAGCCACGAGGTCGGTACCCTGATTTCGACAGTGAAAAGAAAAAAACACGTGCTCATCACGCGATCAGCTGTCAACATTTGACGGTAATTATTTTTTATAAAATTTTTTTTACATATGAAATTCTGATAAATTAAGAGATAAGCCTATTTCAAAAATAATGAATTCCTACGTAAAATTCAAGTACAGGTTCTTTTTCAATAACTTCTTCAAAAGTCTCTTTGCTTACTATTGAATGTAACAATCGGAACAGAAACGATGTGGTAAGGTTATTGGCAATAGTATACTGCTGCTCTAGGCCATGGAAAACAAAATATTCTAAAAGGACTTGTAATTAGTGGCCGAGTCAGTAAAGCACGTGCTCTGGGGCTTGTTTTTTCCGTGGGTTAGACCTTTATTCTATTTTATTTTGAAATAATATTCTACACGCGTTACAACATATACACGCACGTGTTGGGAATTTAAACTAATTGACAAATAATTTAACCTAATTGTCTACGAAGTCTGAATTAAAAACTTACCTGGCTAGAGTTTTCTTGATTTGAAGCCATATTGTCAATGAGATATTTTAAGCTGCGTTGTTGCTACGTCGAAAGATTCAAGCACTGTGAGACTAACGTTCATATTCCGAATCTTTTATATCCTAAAGTGTAGGCGGTCAAGCCATCTAGCGTTGAATAGTGGGGAGAGGCAAAGAGTCATTCGTACAGCGAGACACTTTCACATGTTCATTTTCATAAGAAGAAGATCGACTTACAGATTACTTTAATGGTCGTGGACTAGGCGTAAATGCTGCTAAAGCAGCCTTTTTACATCGACAGTTAAAGTTGAAATTATGGCTGTGCGAGTACTCGAAATAACTCTATATGGTATATGGTAAAAACAATCGTATATGGTAAAAACAATGATTGAAAGTTTAGGCGATGAAGAATTGGATGAAGTTCTTCCTCTAAAAAATGTTAAGTCTGATACTCTGGAAAAGGTTATTGAATTCGCTACTCATCATAAAAATGATCCCATGCCAAAAGAAGATGGCACGGATGAAAAAACTCAAATGACAGAATGGGATCCAACATCTCTAAAGGTATTTAAACAATATTAAGTTTGAATATTATTTTTATTGGAATTCAGTTGAACATTTTAACTTGAAATTCAAATTTAAAATCACACGAGCAGAAATTATATCTTTGTTTGCTTTGCTGAATACTGTCATCAATACAACATCTATACCTGCTTATGCCGTAAAGTTAGTAGTGTATACACGTGGACCATGATTGAATTTAATAACTTGAATTATCGAAATAAGCTTAAAATCTCAATTGTTTACAAAAATTATATATACTACTTAACAAATCAGCCAAATTCTTATAATATTTTTGAATAATGTTACAGGTTGAATTGGACCCTCTTTTTGAACTTACTTTAGCAGCCAATTATTTAGATATGAAAGATTTGTTAGATTTGGTAACCCAATTAATAGCCAAAGGACATTTTACAGATACATCAGTAGACGGACTGCAGAAGACTTCAGAAATATTGATGCCAAAGTAGAGAAGCTCATCCACCCTCTGCTTCTAATGATTTCAATGCCTTTTTTTAAAATTAGACGAAATAGTTTTAATTAAATAAGAGACCTAGTTATAAATACTTATTGTTCGTGATAAAAATTACTAAATAAAGCAGATATTCAACTATTAAAATATAAACTTGATTAACACTAGTTATTTAACCTTACTAGCTACGCTTGCTCTGTATTTGAGATTTTTTTTGAAAAATGTCTCATTTCGATTTAAAAGAAAAAAACCGCTTCCTATTCATTGACAAAGAGCTTCCTCGTGAAAAATTATCGTTCCTATCTTATTTATGAAATGCCAATGAAGCAAGTAATTAAACTAGAACCCAGCACAAAAAAAAATTAATCCGTTTCGGGCCAAACGGACGAAATTTCCCACATTTTTTCCGGTGCTATAAGCTCTGTGAAAAAATATCTGAAAAATGTTTAAATAGTCATTTTTGATGGGAAATTTTATGAACTTTTCGAATTCAGTGTCAGAATTGTAAAAAATGTTAAGGAACAAAAGTTATGAACAGTTAAACAACAAAACACACGATTTTTTTGAAAAAAATTTTGATTCAACCTAAATTTTTGAATCAAAAGAGACTTGATCCGTGTGTCTGACATATATTTTTTGCGTCCATGGAGTGTAGACATAAAAGTCCAATTGTTACAATATCGAAAATTCAACATTGTGGACAACAAAATGGTGCCTCGTAAAAAAAACCACGTATAAACTTGGTCAATTTTTTTATCTGCTAACCAAGCATCTAGGAAAAAAACTTTACTTAGAAAAACTCCTTATAATTGTTCAAAAAAGACCCCTGAATTATTTCAGAATTTTCCGGGGAAATTTTTGTATTTTTGAAAATGGTCAGAAATCAAAAATACCAAAAATGATCCATAAAAATCTTAAAAAATTCAGACATATTCTATAAAATATGCTTTGTATTAGAGCAAAAAAGAAAAAAAACAAGTGAGCTAGTGTAATGATTTTCATTCATTTGTAGTGCGAGCAAACAAATCAATCTCACCGCGATTTCGATTCAATTTGCCACTTATGGAGAACTTTGTTTGTTCTGAGAGAAAAGTAGAAGTTACCGGCTTTACATAAGTTTGAATTAAATGTTGAATATTGAATATTGAAACAAAATTTTATCATTTACGTCTGCGTTGCCAACCTAAATTCAGCGCGTCAAAACTTTCTTGCCACTTCGTTTGAATAAGCTACTTTTTTGCTTCTCGCTCGAATTAGATACCTTTTTGCCGCTGCGCGCGAGTAAGTATCCTTTTTGCTACAGCTTGGAAATAGATACCTTCCTGCGCTGGGGCGACGATATTTTCTTTAATATCAATAAAACATGAGCTGAAATGATAATTATGTATCACCTAAACCTCGGACGTTAAACTATTATTAGTAATGATTCATTACATTTTTTTACATGGACGCTATGGTGTTTTCTGATTTAGAATACTAGTAATTACTATACTCTCTGTTCATTTTTTGGTTACTTGATTTCTGCAACTCCTATATGCAATGATCAACACGCGTTAATGAAAAATTTAGATGAATTCGCTGACGAACGGATTATTTTTGATATACGAGAGACGCGATCGGTAATAATAATATGTTTTACGTAGAAAAATCAACGTGGAAGCCATTTATTAATTTAATTTAAACCAAAGAATGTTTTATAATTTTTTTAAAAATTAGTAAAAACTCTCACAGTGGTTTTCTAGACTGAATTGTCGGTGGCTGTTTCAACGGCGAAAAGCACTTCACACTGAAATTTTCAAATAGTAGTGTTTACTAGACTCAGACGTATCTGAAGATCTGTCGCCAAGTTGACGAACTCTTCGTTGTTATACCAGAATTCATGCTATATTTAAATTCTTCTTGGTGAAATTTTTATTATTCAAAACTTAGATATGTGGCGTTTCAGCACAAGTGTCAAATCTTCAATTTATGCATAACAATTCTTTAAGATAATGATAATCTTTAAAGCTTAACAATTATAGTTATATGCGTAGTAAATTGAGTTAAATTATGCATAGTAACTTGCTCTGAAAAAAAAACAGAAGGAAATTGAAAAAAATTAAAGAAAAATATAAGGATCAAGATGAAGAAGACGAAGATAAAGATGAAGAAGAGGCACAGGCACTGAAGGATTTAAAATCTAATGGTGTACCTAAAAATAAGAAAAAAAATAAAAAAAAGATCCTTCTGCGCCTAAACAAGTTAAAAAAGTAAAGCAGAAGTATAATCCAAATAAATGAGCTAAATATTCAATGCCAGCAAAAAATTCACAACCACTTGATTGTATTGAAAGAAGAAGAACCAGGAACTGCGCATGATCTTGATATGCTTGACCAATTCATTAGTAAACCATTTCCTAAATATGAGTTGTTATTTTCGATAACTGTACTCAATAACTCTCTGCAGCACATGGGTAATAACAAATTCAAAGTGAAATAACTGCCAGGTATTGGCATACGAGCAAAAGCTGCATAGATAGCATTAGCTATCATTATGAAAGATAAAAGTAAACAACTAAGAGATATAGGACAAATGTATTCCTAGAAATATATCTGGTAAAGTTAAAATGAGTACGCCTCAAGTTCAGAAAATATTGATGAAAACTTGATTGAATGAATGATTTATGAAGTTCAAGCTTGTATTATATATTATATTGTATAAAATATTAATGTTTTGTCATAAAATATTATTACTTTTGAGGTAATGTAAATAAAATATAAATTTTATAAAAATGACTGTGGTTTATTTTTGAAAGATTATATTGATTTTATTATAATATAAATCATTGTATAAATATGGAATAGTATTTGCATTATCAAAAGATTGAACAATTGTGAACAAACCTCCTATGTATGTTGTATCTTTTACAAATCCGATAGAATTGTTTTTCTTTTTGCGATGAACTTTCAAGACTTCTTGTTTCAACTAAGGCTACTTTACTTCCAATTGTGTATTGGCATCAAAATCGAAAATTCAACGTTAAGACTTTCATCAATGACATATCAATCCGATTCATTCTTTTTTAATTCAAAAAATTTTATTCAAGCTTTGAGACGCCTACCCACTGCAGACGTTATTTTTTAAGCTGCTAAGCTAATCTAATTTATATTTTAACAATTAATATAATGTATACAAAGTGCACTGATGTGGTGTGATACTGTCTGAATTCATTCACTCGAAGATTTGAAAATTTACCACTCACGTTAATAAACGCACGCACACTCTCCAATATTTTTTAAGTTTAAATTTGCAAATAGTATATTTTGTAACAAGTGCGCGAAGCAGTTGACTCACCCAGGAGTTGTTTTCACCCGAGCGTAGCGAGGGTGCAAAGACTCCTGGGTGAGTCAACTTCCTCGCGGACTAGTTGCAAACGATATTTTTTAACTCTGCTTGCGAGAAACTAGGGTTTTCTGACGCTTTAAGGTTAGAAAGCCCGTGTTTCGCGCACGCAGTGTTAAAAAGCTATTTATTGAGGAATGTGCACTGATCGACATCAAAACACACAATTTGAAACTTCCATTGGTCACACGTGAAATCATAATTCAGTAATTGACACACAGCACACAATATCTCGAAATCTGGATACTTTTTACTTGCTCGAATTGAGTCACGAGCCGCAGTTGATGGCGATCTTTCTTTATTTGTTTACACTGCGCGGCAGCGTCGTTGCACTGTCAAACGAGAGAGTAGTCCTTGTATAATAGCTGCTACGTTTTCGTTGAGCCCGAGTTGATGTGATATTTTGATGCTGTTTATTAGGTTTTAATTAATTTTGTTGAGAAACATCTATTAATAAACATGACACTAAAATATAGGTCAGTCAGTCATCAATGTGTGCATTCGAATTCATCGATATAATTCACGGAGAAACCTACGACCGTAATATTCTCAGGATTTACTGATGTGCGTCAGAGGCCGACCGTTCTTATGTGCAAGTCGGTCTCGTCATTGTACACCCGATTTCGATGAAGCTAATCGATATTTCTTCTTTTTGAAAAATATCTCGAATTATTCGGACGTATTTGTTCCCGTACCAATTTCACACTCCAGACTTCCAGAGTGAAGAAATCCTTGTCGTTCGTGTAGGATACATCCTAACCTCCTCACGTATATACTTTTCAATCTTTTCAAATACATTCGGTCGACTTGAGCCATCTTTGAGTACACTTGCACTTAGACGATTCATAAGTAGCATTTCCACTTTAATCACGAAAATCACTGCGGTTGCAGTTTGAGCGATATCTCCCCTCGTGTTTACTCTGCGGCGTCGTAACGCGCGAACTATACGCTCCACAATCCACATGCTGATGCGTCATACGCGTGCCAAAACGCAGAGTCGCTCGCATTCTCGAGACGAGTTCGGAGCCGAGTGCCTTTGTAATCAAATTATGTAAACATGCATACGAAGAGAATTTTGTAACTCTTCGATCGACATAATTGATATTATTTTACAAATAATGTGTACTGTATTAGATCCCAATGTTCGTCGATGCTACTGCGAACTACTTTTTAAAATATATTGTTTATTACTTATCAAGCGAGCCATGATTCGATAAATTTATAAATTATAATTGCAGAGAATTTACCGAAACTCTCGTATGATACGATTGTATAATGAGAAACTCGATGATAAAAACATTTTTAAGATTTTTTAAAATGATTTTCCTTCTTTCTAAAGTCTTTTTCATCACTCCAGAATTTGAATTTTGAACTGTTTTTGCGCGTGTTTCTTATAAAGAGTAATTCGTAAATTTACAACGACTATATTCGGCATCACCCTGACTTGTATATATAACAGTGCATTGAGAGATTTCCAAAAGGAAAAGTTGCGCGTATGAACGTGCAATTAAAAAATTCGATCACGATGAATCTTTCTCAATTTTTATAGATATAAACACGATTCAAAAAATACGTTACTATATTTATGGTTCAGGTAAGAGTATTAAAATCTACAAATATTACTCTTTTTATACATAGAATTCATATATGAAAAATTTTTAACTATACAGAAAAACAAATTTATAAATTGCGAGTTATACAATTATGTTTACCGCGCCACTTGCAGATTTACAGAATAAAGTATACTCGCCATCTACTGGTAGGAAGCTTAAAGTGATATTTTCGTATGTAAATTGATTAAAACTGGTTTAAATTTTTCGAAAAAATCAAATCAAAATCGTAATTTTTGAATCATTTGAAATGCGCTTAATTTTTATAATATAATAATACGTAACAGGCGTAAGAGAAAAAATCGCCAAAAACAAACTTTTCTCGTCTCTAGAATCTAATTCACACGAATATATGCGTACAAACGCTGTCGCTGTACCGTATGAGCGAGAAAAGTCAATACCAATGATTTGCTTTTGACACACGGTATAATATTTTCTCTTAGTCTTAAAAGAAGTGTTTGTTGTCTTGTTTTTATAATATCAACAAAATCAACTAAAAATTTTAGTGGGTTCTATACAAAACTGCTATTTCTTTGTATGTACCAATTACGAATTTCATAATGTGCATTACTATACTTTTTTCCGTACATCGTACACACTTCAATAAAATACCTCTTTATACTCGGAATACCCCCGACGTGTCACCAATGCATCTATTACAATATAATCCAGTCCTCCTACCTATGGACGATGGACGCGCTGACTCGTCGCGCCCGCCGTCAATCATCGTCGCGAATATATGTACACAATAATAATATTCCATCGAGCGAACAAACAATTTCAACTCGTACATCATTCGGCGCGTATAATCCGATGTTATCGCGAACGAGACGCACGCACAATTATTATATGCATAAATGCTGCACCGCCGCACACACGTCGCTGACACGCGCGCGTCTGTATTTTGCGGTCTGTATCATTTCATCGTGCGCATCAGCGGCAGCAGCATCGAAAAAAAAAAAAAAAAAGGGACAACATTTTCTCTCTTTTTCACGGCTATTCGCGATTCGTTCTCAAACGCGCGCGATTACGCGAGAGCAGCGTGAAAATCGTCGTTATATACTAATACATATACGCGATCGCGCGTCGTGTCCGTGTGTATATTGATCTAACCGATGGGAGCTTTTGTTGACATACGCGAGCGATGATCTCTCTCTCGTGCCGTGCTGTGGTTTCGATCGTAATGTATGGTATAGCGAATAATATTCACGAATTATAATATCTATTATTTTTGACTGTATACTCGAGAGGCGAGACGACGACGACGATATCGCCGAAATTTCAATGTATGCCGAGTTCGATTGTAACGATAATAATAACATCGTACACACGTACGCGAAAACACGGACTGTATACATCGTACGAATCGACGGCTCGTTGATTTTACCTTACGACGTATTATATGTGACGCGTACGATTTAATCGACTGATTTTGCAAAATTATGCAATTAGCGGGTGCAGGTGGGATACGTCGGCAGCATATAGTCGGGGGAGCCAACAAGTGCCGAGACTTGGAACGGCTCCAAGTCACGAAACATCCGCATGCGAGTCGAAAACCCGTTGAAAGATAATGCGCGATGAAAGATCGCAATACGTTACGTATGTAACGCGGATTATTGGCTGTAATAATTACCGTATCTCTCTCTCTTTTTTTTTCGAGAGTTTATAATGAAGGGAAATCATTTCCCGCGAGAGAAAAATAATCGCAGTTCATAAAGCAAAGTTAGTTGTCTGTCCAAACCGGCACTGCCTCGACGAGGACGATCACGACGACGACGAGAGCGAGATTTATATACGTAGGCAAAAAAGCAGTAAAATCGGCCTCCCCCCCAGCTCTCCAACGTCGTCTTGGACTCGACCAATTTCATTTCCTTCTTTCTCGCCCGCTTCTCGTTTTTCTTCTCTCTCTCTCTCTCTCTCTCTCTCTCGTTTTTCCCAGTAACTAAATTGCGTAATTTTAAATTGAAATTTTTTCTCCCCCAGATTCGCGCGCAACGACACTCGACTCTCTACCGTCCTATATACCGTATGTATATGCTATATCATCGCGCATCCCCGTTTACTTTTCGAGTCCCAGCAGCAGTTATATAGCAAGCCTGTTTTACCGTGCAAATTGACGTGGTGAATCCATCTCCTGGCCTTTTTCTTCTTCGTCGTCGAGGTATATATCGATTCGAAATTCAAATTGTTACGTGCGAGGATAGAGTAAATAAATTCAACGATCAGCGATTTATTTGCTATGAAAAACGTTTATTATTTTCATATCATTATGGTCGATCAATCGATAAAATTCGTACGTTAAACAAAATATATCACTATATACAAAAAAACAAACGTACGTTATATACACAAAAATTACAATCATCTACGAGCTCTCGTTCTCGATCTTGTGCTCCTTGAGCGTGTCGTCGTCGTCTATGGCGCAGCAGTAGGTGAAGCCCTGCTCGACGTAGGCGAACTCCCTGTGGGCCATGTGACACTCGACCATGCGGCACCGGGGCCTCTCGGCCATGTACTCCCTGACCTCCTCGGGCGTCAGGAACGGATTGTTGATCACGTGGAAGACGATGCCGCGGCGGGGATTCCTCTTGTCGACCATGTAGCGCTGCAGCACCCATGGCACGGGCACTCGGAGATAACCGCCGCCCAGCTCCTCGGTGTCGGCCAGCTCCAAGCGACCCTGGCCGCGGCGGCCCGGTTGCCTGTAGGCGCCGTAACTCGTGGCGCCGAGCTCGAACTCGCTGTCGGTCTGCGCGGCGATCTCGCGCATTATCCGGCCGACTCGCGCCCAGTTGCCCTCGGCCACGCTCTTCCACACGGGCACCGTATTCTCGTAGAAGTAGCTCGCCGTCTTCTCGTTGTGATAGTAGAAGTCCTCGTCGGAGATCAGTTGGGTCCTGACGAGTTTTTGCTCTGTGCGGGACATTTTAGTCAGAGATGAGATGATGATTTTCAATTTTTAATTTTTTGTTTTTGAGAAACGAGCGACACTCACCCTCATTGATGCGCTCCTCGATGTCCTCGAGCTCCGGCCACTGACCCTCGAACACCTCGCGCTGATTGTCCAGACTGTACACAGATTCATAATCGAGTAATTTTCCGCTGGCGGCCGCGTGGTGCGCCAGTCCCCAGCCGTATCTCGGCGTCTGGGCTGGCTTGATCTCGTTCGTCAACGACGCAGCCGGCGTCAGAGTCGCGGTAGCCACGAGATTGCCATTGGCCGCCAGCTTGAACTCCATCACACGGAGAAAGTCCACGGGCGTGACGAAGTATCCGGTCTGATATCGCTGTCCCTGGCTCAGGTCGCCCTTGGAGACGTCGATAAAAATCGGCTCGACCTCGCGCGTACACCTCGGACGAGTGGCCGATTGGAGTTTCGTCTCGGCCGGGTCTTCTCCGTGTATTCCTAGGCCGCGCTCCACGACGACATCGTCGCCGTCTGAGCGCGGATTAATCGTACGTCTGTGGTACAGATAGGTGGCGCGGTAGTCGCGATGATCCTGGACGGGGCCGCGCAGGATCATCATACGCTCCTCGGCGCAAGAGAGATGCAGCAAGGCATCGCCATCCTTGAAGATGCACTCGGTGTTGGGATCCGGATAGCGATGCTTGGGCAGGTTCTGCGCGTCGTAGCCGTAGACGATGGGCCCGCGCGGATCGTCGCTGGACAGCAGATTGACGGTCCCGTCCTCGTACAGGTAGGCGACGCAATTGTCGTCGTTGACGAGTGGCTGTTGTTGTGGCTGTTGTGGCAGCGGTTGATCCTGATGATGGTCGTCGTTGGCCCCAACTGCTGGAACAAGAAATAAGCAAAACGAAAAAAAGAAAAATTAATTAAGTAAGTCGAGTTGATTACTATGGGTATTATTATAGGTATATTCACTTGAGCTCTTGAAAAAGCAGAGAGCTGCCAGGATCAGCACGGCGGTGAGTCTGTGGGTCGTCGTCGTCATCATCTTCTTAGATTCGTTGTTGCGGCTCGGAGCAGAGAACTTATTGGAGAACGTCGGAGCAAGTCGGCGGACGAGAAGCAACAGGCCGAACGTCGTGTACGGTCCTCGCTGCGACGCCGAGCCCTTCGCGCGAAATCTAATTCAGAGCCAGAGAGAGAGAGAGGGAGAGAAGTAGGGGGTAAATAAAGCGCCGAACGTCATTGCGGCTTATTCGCAATTATAAATTCAAAATTCATCATCGTCGTCATCGATATACGATCGCGCGCGCGACGTTGCCCACGTGACACGAGCGAGCGACGCGTGTGTGTATAATAATTTCAGCGGTATAGCAGCCGAGAGTCGAGGCAGTTAAACTTGTAAATCAACAACTTCGGCTTGTGTGCGTGTGTACGTATGTATGTATACACATCGTATACACCGGCAGCCGAAAGTTTCTCAAAAGTAGCAGCGCCAGAGAGCCTCGATATCGCGTCTCGAGTGTTCCAAGTCTTCTCTCTCTCTCTCTTACTCTCTCTCTCACTCTCTCTCTGTTTCTGATACGCCGGGGGTTTACATGGCACTACTCTATAACACAGGGAAAACTCTCTGCAAAGCTTCAAATCCGAGAGTTTGTTGTCTTGGCGCGCGCGCGCGAGAAGTTTGCAACTTTTTGAGACTTTGTCTCCCTTTATATACATAACACGCGGGGCTCGTAGGCAGAGCTGTTAACATATAAATTGACATTTTAACACTCGATGCCGATGCTGCTGCTGCTGCTTATGCATGAGAAAAAAAATATATATCAACGACAAAAAAAAAGAAGAAACACAAAGAACAAATGTCGAAACGCGCCAGTGTGCATTCGGTGCTAAAAGGATTGCGTTTCATAGGGAGGGGAGGGAGTGTACGTATATGAATATAAATTTAAAGAAGCAGCAGCACAAAGTTTTTGTCCTGCTATATATCTATCATCGTCTATCAATTTTTTCTTCAAAGGGGTATTATAAATTAGCCATGCTCTCTGTCTCTCGTCTCTTGATTTCTCTCTTTCCTCGATGATTCCCAACATTTTGTTATTATATCTGGCGCGCGGAGAGCTGCGCAAAATATAATGCAACTGAAACAAAAAGTCAATTATAAGAAGTCGGGGGGAGAGAAGCAGATCGTGAGCAGCAAACGTAATGGGCATACAGCCGAGAAAGCAAAGTTTTCTTTTACCCTCGCGACTTTAATGTAAGGAACGCGAGACGCACGACGCAACGCGAGGGCGCGATGACTCGAGTTTTTACTCGAACGACGTGCGCCCACGTTCGGCTCGTAAAAAGGGAAACTTTCCCTGTGTTTTCAAGGTGACACATTTAATCCTTGACTGGATGTGTACGTTGAAAAGCGCGGCGATGACGACGTTGACGACGACCTATATGACGCGAGGAAAAACAAAGCGTTGATCTATACCGCGACAATGTTGAAAAAATAACTGAGATCAATCGAGTATGGAGAAAAATTTCCATAAGGTATATTTACGAAAATATCATAATCAAACCTTTTGACGCATAAGTTGGATTCTTTGCGTGTGTGCGTGAACTGGAACAGACGAAAAAAAAATAGAAATAAAAATAAAAATGTTCGAGCCTGCCCTGCTGCCTTGCGAGCTCATTAAAAGTCCTAATTAACAATAGAATGATCGTAAACGAAAACATCGCGCTCTCGAATGCGCTCGCGAAGCGAACTTTTCACATGAAAGGTGGAGAAATTAAAAAAGCGTAAAATGAAGTTGGATTCACGGCAAGCAGCGGTAGCAGCAAGTGAAAAAATAAAATGAAAAAAATAAAAGTTTTGTTTTTAACTCGTCATAGACGAGAAAAAGAGATGCTGCGCGGTGCCGAGTGATAATTTTTTTTTTCGCCCACTATTTTCCTCGTATAATTTATCTCGCGGAAAGCACCGGCAGCAGCAGAGACTGCCACTGGTGGTGGTGTTGAGCTTCTGCGCAAGGGAACTAGCTCGAGCTTCTGATTCAGATTAATTAACCCCCGACTACTACGGGCGAGCTTCGCTTTGGCTTTTTCGCTCTCTGACTTTCTCCAGGCACATACGTCTCGATTTCGCCTCTCTCTCAGCCTCGTTTTACTCGACTCTTTTTCTGTGCTCCGATGCTGTATCGACTAGACGTGTACGCGTGAATTTATCGGAACGCGTCAAACGTCCTTGAAAATTAGCCTCCCGAAAAGAATCGGTGCGATATCTTGGCACAGGCTCGCGCATCGTTTCTTAATGGGACAGGCCGCAACTGCGTGCGGAGTTCAGGAGGGAGGATAATTAATTCCAGGAGAGCAGCTCGTTATTCCGCAGCGTCGCTCACCCGCGGTTTTCGCCATTTTTTTCCTCTCTCTCTCGTGCTGCCCCTTTCTTTCTTTCCTTGTCCATTTTTCGTGCCAAGCCGCCACTTTTCGTTACGACTCAGTTAATCGAACGCGAATATCGAGCCCCGATTGCGCACGACTCGTTTATGCACTCGTACGTATGTGTCTGTGTATAATTACAAGCCCTCTGACTGACAGAACTGGAACGTACGTATCCCTTTCTTTTTTGGTCTGTAACACAAAAGTGACAAATGGCAAAAGCAGCAGAAACGTATATCGGGTGCGCATACGTGTCGCGCGCCCTTCGAACCGCGTGCAGGATGCGCAGTCACATTTATTTACCTACAAAGTCAAAGCTGCTTTTTTTTCGGGCACGCGCCGCGTAAGATCGGTATTGACAATTTTGCAAAAACGCGCGTCCAAGCGACGAAAGTTTCGATTATAGAAATCGAAGATTCGAAGCTGCGCGATGCAGAGATTTATTTGCTCGGCGATCGCTTCGAAAAAAAGAAAGAAAGGAAAAATTAAAAATTCAAACTTTGAAAAAGCGAGCCAGAGAGAGAAAGAAAGAGACTTTATCAAACGAACGAGGGGGAGGTGTTTCAATCTTACTAATTGGATGGATTGGATGGATATAATTAAGAAAAACGATTAATTAAGCCGAGCCCAGGGCCTGGGGAAAGTCTTAAGACCCGTGCGCCGTGGATACGATATATAATATCTCGTAGGTACCCGAAGAAAACCCGCGGCTCTCGGCTCGCAAAGTTTACTCGCACACATATATATATACATTGACCCTATGGTACATCGGGCGAACTCGAGGCCGCTTATACCTGAGATGGAAAAACGAGCGAAAATCCTGTCTCCGTGTGCCCGCGAAAATATAATCGAGAGCCGCGAGAAAGAAAAAAAATTATATGAGCCAGCGAATTTTTCGAAAAGGTAATAATTATCTCTCGAGCTAAGGATAATTAGGGATATACTCATCGGAATCATTTTTCTCTTTCATTCTTTCTTTCTACTTTTTTCTTTCGCTCGAGTGCTCGAGAAAGTTAGAACAAAGTGTTTAGCTCTCGAGAACTTTTCGATTATACATAGTATACGGTAGGCGCATTGAAAGAAGGGCACCAGAGAGAGAGAGACGTAGACAAAGGACTCGCGAGCGCGAAAGAAAGCGAGGCGTATATAAAAAAAACAAGTTGCAGCATGCATAATGCGAGAAAGAGAGCTACGAAAATAGCGTATATGTAAGAGCTTAACAAACTCGGCGAGTGTTTATACGTGTGTATATACATAACTCGCTGTAAACATTCCTGGCCTATTCTCGTTGTATATCTGGGCCGCGCGTTTTTCCTATATTTCACCCCCGGCTGTATGTGTGTGTATTTGTACCTATTTGTTTAAATGCCTCTCTCTTTCTTTCTCTCTCTTGTTGCTTAGTTTCATTGGCACTGGAGTGCTAAACTGCCTGTATATAGATGTATAGGGTGGCCTTTTTTAGTTTGCCAACTTTTATTGACTCTCGCGACGGAGAAGAGAGAGACAAAAAAACAATATAACAACAACGATATACGCGGAGAGAGAGAGAGAGAGAAAAGACCCGTGTAAAGTAAAAATTGGCCATGTTCGTTTGGGAAAAGTGCCTCGCGATATAGCAATGTATAGTAATTTTTGTTATACTGTATTTGCAAAAATCGTTATAACTATAACAACGTAGTCGATTTTCGCTGTGGAACTTTGTAGCTCTGTATATCGACGAATTGTATAGTGTCTTCGAGGATATATAATATCGGCGATCGGCATTTTTGAAAATTAGTTAGACCAAACGATCGATGATTTTTGCCAGCTCTCGTGGCTTGTTTTGAATCGTTTGAATTCATATATGATAACTATATTATCGACAACGAATTCATTAAACTGGGCTCTGATATATACCAATGTTTCGACATTGCCGCTTGCGCGATTTACGAAAATAAAGGTGCTCGCCATCTAGTGGTGGACGTTGAAAAGTAGTATCGTTGCGTTCACAGCGATGGAAAACTGATTTCAATTTGGTAATGTAACTTTTTGGTCGTGCGCAAGAATTCCAAACGATAATGAAACTTCGTTATAATTTCAAGCAGATAAAAAGAATTGCGAAGAGATAGAATGAATTACGCATATGGCACCCTCAGGCGCTATCGACGTACGCACATAGTGACCAATCCAATGACACAAATATATAAAGTCATACTTGTAACGAGCAGCGCTTCGTGCACACCCATATATACATGTACAAAGTCTCGGGGCTCGTCTCTCTTTGAGGTCGGCGTATACCGAGAGTCTGCTGCTCGCGAGATAACGCGCGAGTTGCAAAAAAAGCCACGCGTCTGCTGATACGGGCTATAGGTACCCGCAGCTTGCCTCAGCGCTTGTCTTTTGCTTCTCTCTCTCTCTCTTGCGCTCTTTGACTCGTCGACGATTAGACTTCGGAATAGACATGAACCGCCTTTGTAGACACATACATGCCCTTTCGTTCATTTTTTTTCCTGCAATCTCTTTTACTCATCTTGGAAGCACGGGAGTCTTCGAAAGTACACCTCTTAATTTTAAAAGAAGTGACCCTAAATGCGGTAGCTTGAAAAATCAAGTTTATGTACTCATTTCAAAGTCACCTTTTGTTCCGTCGCCCTTCGATCTCCGATATAATTTTTAGCTCGTCGAGACTCGCGACAAACGGATTGAATTGGACGTATAAGCTCTCGCCACCACCGGCTCCGGGC